GCGCAGTCGCCTGCTTGACCTTTGATGGGCAGATGATCCTCAGTGGAGGTCGAGACAGTTCGGTCAGAATCTACAATGCTCGCTTGGAGCCGCAAGGGGAGCGTCTCTTCGGTCATACTGGCCTTGTCAGGACTGTATCAGTGCGTCCAGGTCGACTGTCTGCGGATGTCGTTGCGTCAGGATCATACGATGGCTCGATCCTTATCTGGACGAAAACTCGAGCAGGAAAATGGCGCGAGTGTCGCAGCATCGGAGGGCTCGTTCCTCCAGGAGGCAAAGCGGATTTTGGCGTGGTCATGGACACTTCAAGAGGTTGCGGTTGTCCAGTCCATACGCGCTGTCATACTATTGGTGTTGCCCACCTCGCCACGAGCGATTGTGGTATGGCATCTGCGGTAGACCGTGACCATCCAAGTGGTGATGATCCTTACTTCACGGGAAACCATCAGACGAGGATGAAGCGCGCAGGCAGCACAGCTACCCGACGTAGAGCCCAGGGTCTCGCCGGTCAAGACGATGATGCGCGCCACCGGTCAGTTCGCCAGAGTGTTGCTACCATCCCAGCGCTGCGGATCATGGGGATTCAGCTTGATCGGCGAGGACTTGCATACTGCTCCGAAAGATCGGGGATAACATATCTGGATTTCAACGACGGCGATGCTGAATTGTGTTAAGAAGTGTCGGCAAGAGCTGTTCGTATGATGGAGATATGATCACCAGCTCAGGCGAACATGATTAGATAGTCGCTTGAGAATGAGGTACAACTTGCATCTGAGCACTTCCACGAATCCAGAGACGCTACAGAAAGCCTGTGAGTCGCTCTTGGAAATCCCACATACTTAGCGCTTCCTGAACATGCTGATCTGCTGTGATCTTTGGACCCGTCGATGCCTCTCCAGGTTAACGGAAACGCTCCAGACAACTGCATGATCGGGCTGCTACTAGATGCAGTAGCAACAGCAACAGGGTAAGAACCCCTTCCATGGCCATGCACTTGACAGTCAAACACGCCAAAATGTTCCGCATATTTGAGATGCTCGTCAAAGTCCTCTCGACCAATCCTCACTGCTTTTCGAACCTTCTTGGAGTGTCGTCTTGTACCACGGCTCTCGTCAACGTCATCTAGCTCCAGTGAAGTCGGGCTTGCGTGTGCAGTTTCGTACCTGCTGAGAGCGCTGTCTATTGAATGGATATACCTTCTCCAATTGATTCCGACCTTGGGAACGTCCGCATCAACCGCCGTTTGGAGACCTTAGCTCCGTATGTGCTCTCCCAGTGTCTTTCACTTCGCAAGAAGAGCACGGGACAGGCGGGACGCGAAGTCGGATGCATAGTTGACCAACACAATACACCTGAACATGAAAGCTGTCTTTGCTCCTGGCCAATGTCGGGCGTCATGGCCACCGCTCGAATTATCTCTACCGTCCTTCCCTCGACGTTGCTGCTTCACCTCGTCATCTCGCTCGTCGTCACGGTGTCATCCTCACCTTCTCTATGTCGCTTTGCAAAGCCGCAACCCGCATCTTGCCTCAAGCTGTGCCGCTCGGCATTGACGTCGGTGGTTAGACTTCCCGCACTCCCGGCTACTAAGCGACGCCAAGACGATCGTTCTTTTGCACGTCACTTTCGCGATCGCGAAGCGACGGTGTATGTGCTGATAGACTTCGGAACTCCGGCGGGCATTGAGAGTGAGCGCTCAGAGTAGATCATAACGCAGGGGGTGCTAAGTCTTGCAGAGGCCAGCGAGAGGTTTCAAGGGAGGCTCGGAAAGTACACAGTAAGGTGCAGTGGATCAACGCAGAGGCCTTAAGAAGGCATTAGCTTTGAGGCTGTTTGGCAGCCATGTATTGATAAACGAAACGTCAGTGGTCTTCGCCTGCATGTTGCTCAGCGAAGGTTCGGTGTGACGACCAAACAGTCAATCGAGCAGTAATGTAATACAATGTGCCCAACAATACTTCGTAGATACAACCGCAAGGTATGAGCCTTGTGGGTGCACGCACATCTGGATTCGCACACCATAGGGATACTATGCGGCTTACCGTATCTGCGCTATATTGCGAGCAGCTCTTTTGGTAGCAAATCTCTTGTCCTGTACAACAAGGCCTGCGCATATTAAGTGAATCTGGGAGGCACATCAAGAGCCTACGATACATCGACGGTCAATGTGTTGAGAGTAGGTTGAGCTCAGCGAGTCACATGGGTGAATAGAACTGCTGAGGTTTGGACTGGGCCGTTCTTGTCTAGTAAGTAGACATCAAAGGATTGTGCGGCCAAGCAGCAAAGTTTGTTATGCCTGCAGCAAGTTTGATAGAACGACGTGTGTCCACTCCGAGGAGTTCAATACCTTGTGTCACCGCTTGCTAGATGGTGAGACTGGAAGTTAGCAACTGTCTTGGGACAAACCAAAGCCCGAGGGTTTTTTGGGAAATCGCGACTCATATGGAGCCTTTTTGGCGAGCATTGGGACGTCCATACACGTAGATGAACAGAAACGACTCATGGCTAAGTCGCGTAGCAACTAAACTGCTGCACAGCCCCCATGGCTGGGCAACGTGCAACCGGCGCTGCTAGTTGATAACAAAGTAGCATTGAACAAGCGACATGCTAGCGAAAGCAAGGAGAACAACAACTCAATGAAGCCAGTGGTTTGCGTCGATGCTGTGCGTGGTTGTGCTGCTTGGGTCCGGCGTCCGCTGCCAAGAGGTAGTAGGCATGTCTTGGCGGGAAAAAAGGACCCCGATAACGGGCGCCACAGGCGTTCGCGCTACCATACAAAAAGTGCACAACGCTAAGTGACAACGGCTACGACACTTCGCAGGTGCGAGAAACACTGGCATGGCAGCACCATTGACCGCTCCCGACATGGCTGAGCCCGAGGTCTTTCTCCGGGTAAATCCCACCATCACAAGCCTTGCAACGCAGCTCACGTCCAGGAATGATCGGAAAGGACTAATTCGCAAACGAAACCGTCAGCTCAGCAAGCATCCGGCCATCTCCCCCATCTCATCCTTGAAGAGGCAGATCCATAAGTGTCGCAATGATCGCACAGGTAGCAGCAGCCAGCCCGAGGTCTTCTGTAGTCGAAGACGTACAAATGCAGACGACAAGATATGGCAAGTTCCAAGAGACCAACCAATACTGCCAGACATGGTGCAAGACAACATGTACACAGCAAGAATGCCCTTTAGAGTCGACGCCGAAAAGCCCAAGGGACATGAAGGACGCAAAAAGGATGTTCTAGAAACAGGAAAGCACGCTGCCAAGAGACTTGATCAACATTTGAGTAACTCTTGTCTTCCACAAACATCGATCCAGAGAAGGGACAATGAGCCTCCGACACTCGCCAGCTTCCGACCAAAGGAAACTCCCCTCGTCAATAAACGTTACAGCAAGATGCAACACTCCGGGAGCGTCCATACTTTGTGTCCTGCGCTTTTTGAACAGCACAAGGATAGTGACCTTGGTGCAGAGAGCGCGAATGCGTCCGACGGCGAGGAGACGACGAGGCGGCCACGCGACTCTGTGAACGATGAGGGACACGGGTCTGGAACATGCACAACGATCTGACCGTCAAGCTCTCAGTGACTATGACTCAGTCATGATATATGCTGCCGAGCATGCGGTCCACGAAGATGAGCACAGTACTGAGAAGACGAGACTATCCATTCGACATTCGGGCGCACATTTCGTATAGTCACTCCATCTCAGAGATCCATGCCTGCTTTGAGAAAGGACGCGGAGGGCTGATCCGGGCGCACACGCCGCGAGATGACTCGACAATCCTGGCTGGAGGAGTCACGTGAGTGCCAGGGTTGCAACTCATAATCTCGGCCAGCGGCTCGCGAGGGGCAGCGATATTCCGCGCTCGTGACTGACATCGCTGATTCCCAATGAAGGTCCGTCTCCTCAAGAAGGAGACGCAGGCCATAGACGTGAGAGCCGCATGCAGGTCAGCGATTTCCACGCACTGGACGACCTTGCGTTGATGGCCGAGAACGCCCGGAAACGGACTCTTCAAGAGCGGCAGGCATCTGAAAGGTGTGGTCGACCACGGACATGGGCTGCCCACTACTCTATCCGGGCAGATGGTTTCCAGCGGTTTAATCGCCGAATGAAGTGTGCCCACCGTACTTCACTCGAAAGCCAGCGCTCCAGGACCCAAGCAAATGTAGGGGCTGAAACTTCATTGTCTACCATTGCAGTGTTTCGCCATCACGGAACCGCGTCAGACACTCGCGGGTGACCATGTGGCGGGCAAATTTTTCGCCATCGCGACCCCTTCGCAACGATATATGTTATACAATATAGTCTTGGCGCAACATTCCAATGGTGTTGGACACGAGAAGGCAGTAGCTGCAGCCGAAATTATAGCAGACGCCATAATATAGGCAAAGACAGTCTTGACTGTCAGGGACGACGGCGGCTCAGCAACCTGCGCAAATGCTCTGTCTAGGTAGATCCCGGTCTGGCATAGCTTGCAGACAATATTACCTTTACTCGCGCAGAAGTTGAAACAAAATCGGGGGTTGTCAACCATCTCACGAGCGGGTGCATACCAATGGTCGTTGCACACATGCTCCATACGAAAGCACGACTTGGGTGCGCTCTGCAGCAAAGGTCAGGCGCTAACGTTTTACGGCTTTAGCACTCGATCTCCCCGAACGATCGTGTGCTAGTCCACCTTTGGACAAGCTGCGATCTAAAGATGGCACCCTTGACCCACCCTTCTTTCTCGACCTTTCCACTTCCATCCACTTCCATCCTCCCCTCTCCGGCTGGCTTAAGTTCTCCCTTCCCGCGGAAAGCGATGCGCGATCCTGGTCCAAAGCTTGGTTCTTCATGACTAGCGCAAGACAGCGCACACAGCTGTCCAAGCCGTCTTGTCGAATCACTTCACGAGGGTGGCGGCGGTGGAGGCTGGGCACTTTCTGTCGTGTGAACATATAAGCCGGGCACGATATACTCGCGCTCTCGTGCCCATATCCAAAATATCCAAAATGGCCAGACTGATGGAGCGCAATAACAGCAGCGCTGGGTGCGATGTGCAGACAATTCTGGAAGAAATCGAATCACTTCGTTCTCGGCTTCGAAAAGCTAATGCCGATCTGTATGCTGTACAAGGCAAAAGCTCTGTCGAGGAGGGTAATTTTGAGCAGAATGTTGACCCTCTGCTGCAGCGTAACGAGCATCTCGCTCAGCAGCTAGCGGAGACCCAGGACAAGCTGTATACCAACCTCATCCCAGATATACGCGCCGTGCTTTTGATCTGACATCTATAACAGACACGCGTGCACTGCCGAAAATCAGTCGCTTCGCAAAGCGCGTGATGCAAGCATAGCGGAGAATCAGTCGCTACGCCAGGAGCGAGATGAGACCACGACCAAGCTCAGGCTGGTACGCCAGGCATATACTTCTCGTCAATGTGAGGTGAGTGGACCACCATCATCCTTCGCACTCTGCTCGGTGCATGATGATCAACGCGGTGGAAGCTGATCGGTGCGAATCAAGGCGACGGACAGCTCCACAGATCTCTTCCGCCAAGACCCAAAAGACAGTAACCGGACGAAGCGTAAAGAAGCATCTGGGGGTCCGCTTGCTGAAGATCGTTGCAGACTGGAGAGGGATGAGGGGTCCGACACGGAAATGCTTAGCCCGGGAGACTCTGAGATGCATGACTCAGTCACAGGACCAACCCGGTTACAACATCATGACAGCAGTGGAGGCGAGGCGCACGGCGCAGAGTATCTTCAGGCACTCCGGCAACCTCCCGTATGTTCCCAGCCGAAGGAGAGGCTGGCTCTGCCGGAGCATGATGGCCGTTTTGGGACACAGAACGAAGCGCGGATCATGAAGCCGGAAGGCTCCAGCGGAGAACGCTCGATGCTCTGGGAAGAACCGAAGCCCGTCAGCCAGGACCCGGTCGGCGAGGAGCCGATCACTTACGAGGAACCATATCCAAAACTGGTTGGTCGCGAGGTTGGCCATAGTCTGGTCGATCAGGAGCGGACTGACACCGGGTCAATGCATACAAATATAGTCGACCATGCGCTGCGTGACCCCGAGCACAGAGATGGCACAGGCATGGAGGGGACTCCCGACGATGAGCTCATAAGCGACCCACTGTCTCCCAGAATGGCGTTGACTTCCCAGGCAGGAGAACGCATGCGCGCATCTCCGAAGGTCCCGACGGATGATGATCCAGATCAATCGCGGCGTGAGGCTGACGGCGTTCCTCGTGGCATCACTATCGATGAGCACCATCCGGTGATGCCGAACAAGCAAAGCACGACGCAAAAGTACACGGACAGTCCGGATCATGAAGATTGTAAGCCTTCCGGCTACCAGCGCCAGACCTCGCGACAAGCTTCACTCGCTCGGGACGATGTGGCAGCCCAAGTTGACCTGGTGCATCCTTCCGCTGGACAATCACGGAAGAGCTCCTCCGACTCTACTGCTGCGTCACTCTTCCCACCTCTGGGAGAACTGTCGGACGCGGACGGGCTTGTTCAGACTTCAGCACATGAGAATCACATGGAGGACGATCCTGCCGGCAAGCCGCCATCTGCGTCACCAAGACCCGAGTCGTGTAGCCCGGTAACCGTGGCAGCGCCAGCAGAGTCGTACCCAGCACCTCTCTTCGCCATGCAGCCTGCCGTGACCGCCCCTCCCGAGCCATTGGAGACGCCTTCTCCAAGCGCCGAACCATATCAGACAGCTTCGATTGCATGCCCAGCGTCTACTTCCCCGATCACGCAGCCTGTGGGAGCAGCTGTGGCCTCATCGAAAACACCTACACCGAATCCTTCCAACGTCGAAGTGTTTTCGTTGTCGTTTGCCGGCGTAGCAGCGGAGTCTCCGCAGGCGGCGTCACCACAGTCGAGATCACTCCCGCTTCCAAGGCATACCATAGGCCCTTCAGAAGACTTGCCTGTGCCTCCCACATGTGCAAAGCCAGAGGCTACCATGGAAACCAACTCACCGATTGTAGATCCGCTGGCGGCGTCCAATGAAGAGTTTATTTCTCTATCCTCTAACCCTAGATCAAGGTTGCTCCACGATGACGTGTCCTCGGCCACGTTGTCGGCGAGGGAGAAGGGAGATGATAGTGGTGCAGCATTGGGGTGCAAGCCGCTTTCGCCACTCACCGGTGACGTCTCCCAGGTCTCCGAAGACGACGGTGAGACTGGAATAGAGACGGCTCGGATGGAACCGGATCGTGTTGCAAAGCCGGCGGCAGTTGAGTCCGATACAGACGATGGCGCGTCAAGCATTACGGACGAGCCATTCTCGTCCCCACTGACCCACAAGGGACGACGTATCCGTCAGACCTCCACACAACGGGCTCCGGCCCCCGTGATCCCGAAGACGGCGTCACGGTTGCATCCGCACGTCGTCAAGAGAGACCGTTGTGCGAAAGGATCGAGTCAGATCGAGCGGCCCGAAGATGCCATCCGTGCCAGCTACGGCAAGTTTGGCCTCGATGTTCAGCGGCTGATCATTGTGCCAGGGGCTCAACCCTTCAATCCCCTGGCTCTTTTCATGAGCTCGGCTGCCAAAGTCGGCGCCAAGCTAACTCCACAGCGCATGAAGGTGCTCCAGAAGCGGAGGGACGAGCTGCTGGCGTCTCTCACAGCCGTAGATGATCTGGGGACCGGATCGGCGGACGTCGATCTCATCAAGGGCCTGTGCAATTTGTACAGCGAGCCGGTATACCCGCAGGACATGACGGACCTCATCCGCGCGCTTCGGCAGCAGCAGAAGCTCACGAAGGATGTAGTGAACCTACTGCAATGTCTGGAAAGCTTTGCGCTGGTAGTAACGAAATACCACGCACCAGCACAAGTGAGTATTGTTCCCAGTCGTGTCCTTGATAGAATTGGCTAATCAGTCATAGTACGCTAAAGCAGTGGAGGGTTGGAGCATGCACGACCTTCGCCGGGTCAGCGACCACCATTGCCTGCACTATGTTTTGCTCCACCTTAACGAGGGTTGGCGAGGGTTGCACGTAATGGTGGTCTTGTACCTGCGTAAGTATTGGACCCCCAAAACGACGACCCACTGCCTGCCTAATGACGATCTACAGTTCGGGCGGGGGTGCGCAAATTGCAGGACTACTTCGCAAGCGCCACCAGGCCGGCCGCCATCTTGTTGTTGTTGCAAGGACTGAACGATGCGGATATGATCCGTCAACATGCCGACCGGATGCGTCAGTTGATCAGCAAGGCCTTGCCCGGCCAAGAGTCCCGCATCGGTCAAATGACGCCACTAGGGATGTTACACAACATGACAACGGGCTTCATGCCGTAAGTCGTCATTGTCGATCCGCCTTGGAAGGGAACTAGCTGACTGTTGCCAGGCAAGGTGCTGTCGAAAGCGCCTTGGGCTATGACTCCCAATACTTGGAAAGGGCTGTTGCGCAGCCCATAGGTGTCTCTTACATGTGGACCCCATGGAGTACGCGCATCGTCATTGCCCTTCGCCTCGGACCGATACACTGACATCTGTATCTAGACTTTTCGGACTTGGTCTTCCGCAGTGGCCCCGTTCAGCCCGGCTCGCAGACCCTGTCCATCCCGCCGACTGTTGTGACTCCGGCCATGGATCGCAAGCGGGGGATCGCACTTGTCGACACGCCGGGCGACGGGGACAGTCCCACCAAGCGCCAGCGGGTCGACGAACATAGAGCAGAGCACTTTGGCACTCGTGCCTCTAATGAGGACCGCTTTGTCCCTCGGGAGACTGATTCGTCCCAATTCAGCCCACTTGATCATCGTGGTGGACAGGTGTTTAGCTCGGTATGCCGAGGCTCTGGTGGCAAAAGCAGACGCTATGCCAAGCTAATTGCATGGTACAGGACTCTTACATACTCGACTCCGACTCGTCAGCTCCACCAACACACGGTGGTAAGCGGCACTCTCCGGGCGCTGTTCCGTGCGCACAAATTGAACGAGATGCTGACACGCATCGCAGAGCCGACTGTGGACACGGCGGCAGAGTCCGAATGCGAAGACTTCCTGAACGACATTGTCAACGGTGACGTCACCCCAGTCAGAAACGATCCGGCGTTCGCAGGTAAGGGGAAACGGATAGGTGCTGATGGAAGGAGTAATGCTGACAGTGTTACAGCCACCCCGAATACACTTGTAAGTCGAAAGACGCTTCCCTTTATGCCTCCTTTGCTGTGCCACGAACTCGGACTAATGTGATGTCGCAGAAAAGGAAGCGCGACAGCAGCGACCGATCTCAGCTCGGAAAGCGGGCGCTTGTGAAGCCTCTGCTGCGCAAGCAGGGCGACGAGGGCTTCGTACCACACGAGAAGCACCCTGAGAACCCGGGGCGGCAGTGTAACAACACGCACGCCGTTCGGAAAGACGATACTTCGAAAGGATTGCGGTTCCTGCACATCAGCACGGAGACGGCAAGCGCGGGCTCTCCGTCAGACGGTCTTACCCAACACGACCCTCCTGTCTCGCATGCGGATCCGGATCAGAGTGAACTAGAACGAGGCGCAAAAATCACGCTCTCAGCTAAATTCCGCCTGGATGTGGAGTCGCTGGTGTGTATCCTAACATCTGAACTTTCAACAAGCGTTGACGTAAGCACAGGTGAACGAGCTTGAGTCGAAAGGCGAAGCGCTGTGGACGGGAGAGCGTGGACCAACGGCCATCGCAGGGTACTGCGGCCCACCGTCCATCCGCAAGCTCGCTGCACGTGGCGATGACAGATTGAACGACGAGATCGTCAACACGATCCCGATCATAACAATTCCGGCGGACAATCGCACCTATCTGCTACCCAGCTACGCCTTTGAGCACATACGGAAGGGTAGGTTCGACAGACTGAGTCCATGGGTGAAATACTTCCCGTTAGTGAACTGTCGATGGGTGTTCGGCGTGTGTCAGCAGAACCACTGGACGGCCGTGGCGATCGATTGGAAGGAGGGAACGATTCAACATTACAACCCACTCACAGGGCTTTCGAAGCAGGCTGGAGACATCTATACGGTAAGTCCACTGCCACAAACTCTCAGTCTTCAAGAACTAAAGCTGCACCCAGGCGGTTGAGTGTTGGACCCAGCACCTCATACGTACAAGTCGTCCCACGAGACGCTGGCGCCTTGAGCATGTGCACGGCCCGCGGCAGGCTGCAGATGACGCGCGCAACTGCGGCGTGTACGTGGCATGGGTCTTGCGAGAGTGGATGCATGGGAGACCGGGAGATGCGGAGGGATTCCCGGGTCATTTGGAGTTCAGGATCGAGATGCTGCAACTTCTGCAAGGCGCATTCCGTACGCCGGGGCTGCCGTGTGTGGGTGATGTCCTGGGATCACCGTCAACGAGTATGATCGACATACATCCTTGATTTGCGGATTTCAATGCTAACGACGCATAGTAGATGGCGGCGAAGGCGGCGAAGGCGATGGCCCGGCTGATCTCGCAGGGGATCACGAGACGGCGACTGGCAAAAGAGACGCCAAGAGCATAACCGAAGACACCGCCACCACGCCCTTGTCCACGGCTCAGACGAAGAAGCCGACATCCTTGCAGCTGGGACTCAGAGAGCGCATGGACCCGATAGTGCACGCAGGTGTCGACGGTCACAGAGAACAAGCCGAGCGTACCTCCGGGCCTGGGGAAGGACCGCATGCCAAGAACACGTTGAGCGTCGAGGAGCGTCTCTCGCCGTCGGCCCCGGAGCCAGCAACATCAGTCGAAGCAAGGTCATGTCCAATTTCGACTGTTGCAACAAACACGATCCCGGGGTACCACTCGAATGACAGGCGGCCAGAAACATCCCAGGAAAAGTTTCCGCTCGTGACCGCTCCGAGTGTGGAAGAGGTTGCGCATCCTCACTCAGCAAGGCCCACCATTGTCCAGCCTGAGACAGATGTTACATCTCTGGATGAAAGTGAAGATGTCAAATGCGACCAATTACGGCACATGGACGACCTTGGCTCTCCCGCAGCGGAGCATAACAGGCCTTATGCGTCTGGGTATGCCCACCAGCCTGACTGCTCAGCCCTTGGAGACGCGCCCACACAGTCCATCCCAGACATCGGAGGTAGCGCCCTGATGTCTGGCGCATGGAATTCAGGCGACGATGCTGGACTCTTGCCAAGTCCGGGATTACCGCTCAGCACCCACTTTGAGGACGCGCTGGGAGAAGGCTTGGACTCCTGGTACGATTCAGTCGAAGGTGCTATGGCTGGATTACCCAGGATGCCCGCGTCGCCATCCATGAGTGAGTGGGAGGACTGGTTGCAGAGTCGTGGAAGTCTGGACGTCGACAGCTAGCATGATCGAGATTGGTGACAGTTCCCTGCCCTCTCTGAGGATTGTTCTCTGACAGTTGACTATGTAAGGGCTCAGCCAGCTTTGAAACTGGTAGTCTTGCTGCACCACATCATCAAGCCGAATCCTTCCTCCTTGCCTTGCCACTTGACAGGCTCATCGCCATCGTAGTACATGACTTGGCCGGGTTTCACATCTGAATGTTCGGCATCGCCCTTTCGCATGACAGGACAGTCGCGCAGAGCACTGAATGCCAAAGTACCAACGATGCGTCCAGGTGCGGTATGAATGTAATCAATCACCCCGTCTGCGATTGGCAAGAAATGGACGCATTTTCCACGTTTCAGCCTTCTGCGTACTTCATCCTCGCTTATACCCAGCAGGTCGGCAAGGGGCTGTGCTCGCAGATTCTTCTTCCATTAGCCAAGAGCCTGTTCGCCTGCATAATTGTAGCATACCTTGACGAATGCTTCGCAGGCAACTGAGGTTTCGGCAGTGTCCTTGAGTATCGTGAATGGTTGGGCGCTTTGCCTTTTCGTTGCGGGTGATTCTGTTTCAGTGGCACGCCCACCGTCGACTTGCATCGCAAGGCTTTTTCGCGCATCTTCGGCGACCTCTTCGCCGATTCCGTCTAGGACGATCATTGTAAACGCCGAGCGCAAGAAGGTGAGGCCTGTTGTGAGAGAAGCAACATTATGGAGGTGGAGGTCTTGAGCATGCCAAGACTCTGCCGGGAACTGGCGCCCACAACGGCTTTTATACTAGGGTCTGCCCCACTAAAGTCTATCCCTGCGTGAAGAGAACACTGTAGTACAATGGGGAGCAGTGATGATATTCCCGACTATCTGATCGGCTATCTACAATCGTAGTACGAGGAACGTTACTACAACGAGAGCGGGTTCGAGGAATAGAAGGATAGGGGAATCGACCGAAAGCTAGGAACGCTATAGGTACTTAAATATCGGTCTTAGAATAGTATATCTAGGTGTTACTCTACGTAGCTATAGAAGCAAATATAATAGCGTAGGTCGTGTGCTATAGGCTTCGAGACAAGCAGATACTAAATAGGTTTAGCGTACTCCTCGGTTAATTGGACCCCTTAGTCTTAAGTTAGTACGATTATCGGTTCTAAATCTTACCCGTACTAAGATTCTATCCTTTTTAGCAGAGAAACTCTCGGCAATACTAGTATAAAGCCTCAAATACTACTATAGGAAGATGTAAGGTGTCGTACCACATCTACAGTATCCTGCACGTGACCGCAGGGGGACCGCAGGCTGTCTGCAGTCAGCCTAGGTCACGTGATATGTTCCGGCTCCCCGCAGGGGGTCCGCAGGGTGTCCAAGGCGGACACCTAACAGAACATATTAGCTCCCGCATTAAGCGAGGGGGCTTAGGAGAGGAGATAGAAGAAAAGGAAGTACGAACTTCCTTCTCCTCTACTCCTTAAGTTTACTATCGTTACTATCGTACTAGAAATCGCGTACGTACCGCTAGCGTAGCTAGGGCACGTACGGCGAGTACGCTCTTCGATTTATCCCTACCCTCTTCCTTGCTACAACCCCTTCGTCGTGGCCGTATCCTCTACGTAACTACACCGGAACCCTCACAGAAGATAATACGTCCTATAACTATTCTACTATATTATATAGCCTCCAAAAAACGATAAGGAACTACTAGCAATCGTTGTAGTATTACGATACTTAAGAGTATACTATAAAGCGGCTATAGGACTAACTATTCACTCGCATTATAAGAACATATAATTCTTTATAGGGTATATGTATCCTTATATTACCTATCTATAGACTTTTATACCTCTACCTAGACATTAACTTAGAAGACGAAATACTTCTTAAGTCTAGAAGTCTACTAATATACTACGTTATAGTCTTTATCTTTACTACTAACTCGGGCGCTCCGTTATATAATAACTACGGCAGCAAATTTCTAATAGGATACTAAGTTAGATACGAATACGATAAATTTAATAATCTAGTCTTACTACTTAGTTTTGAATATACCGGTACTATTATAGAAAGTAATAAGGGCTACTTTATAGCGAGAATATACTTTAGTACAGAGGTAGGAGGTATGTTAGATAAGAAATTAACCTAGCTACGTACCCAAAGTCTAGCTAGCCTAATTTATATCCTCGAAAAGCTACCGTAGAATCTAAAGGAGAAGTAGAAAGTAGGATTGCGGCTAGAAATACGTAGAGTATTTAAGGTCTATTCCGTTAATAATAACCCGAATACATTAAAATTCTACAAACAAATAGGTATCTCTATATATACTTAGAAGAATTATAATATTTTTGCTTTAAAGTATATAGAGGAAGGAAACGAAATAGAAATATAGGATAATAAGGAAGACGAGAGACTCTCTTCTAATATCCTATCTAGTATAGAGAGCTACCCTACGTTGCGAGCTACTTTTTAGAAAACGAGGTAGCAATATCTACTCTATAATTTTATATAGAAACTAATAGAGTCGTACCGCTCTTTGCTCTTTAGTCTCTATCTTCTAGTACGCCTTTACCGTACTTCGCATTGTCGATCCAGCGGGAATAGCTTGCTGCAGATCATCGCATGCGGTTCAAACACTGGGCCCTGAATAACCCGCCGATAAGTCCGATCGACCTTCGCCGCAGCTATGTTGGCTCGGCAACGTCAATCAATAGCAAAATTTCAATACGATCGGAGACGACGAGCGTACGAAAGGTTACATATACATTTTCCAATGTGACGACTTGCCAGGCATGGTGAAGATTGGGTTTACAACCGCTCCGCAGGCGCCAGAAGTCCATACCGGTACTGGACCCCATGCTGTACAGAAGCGGTTAAGAGAATGGGGAAAGTGTCATGCGAAGCCCGATTGTGTCTCTTGGAGGGAAACACTTTTTCCACACAGGGTGGAAGAACTTGTGCACCTAGAGCTGGCAAGCAAACGTTACGATGTACAGTGTCTGGTAAGCAGTTGTAAGAGCAAGTGCCATACCGAGTGGTTCCAATGTGAAGTCAATGAAGCGAAGAAAGTTGTGCATGAGTGGGTTCGACTTATGAAAGATTACTCTCTCCATAATCCCAAGACAAAGCAGCTTCAGCAACGATGGAAAGACTTGGCGGACGACCTGGTTGAGAAGACAGTGATTACCGCTGGACAGCTTTTGAGCACAGGGAAAGTCAGTGCACTTGCGGACAATCTCGCTGCAACCACTCTCGATTGATGGACATGTTGTTGTCGAGCAGGATTTACCTGGCCTTCTAATGAGAGCGTGACGCAGTTACATTCTAGCCTCGTGCTCATGCGTAGCATTCCAACGCTCATTTATGACAAAGGCGATACATTACTACGCGAGACCATGTCAGGGTATCTAGACCGACAGATTAGGGGTCAGAACGGACATTGCCAGTATATCACATAGCGTTGTTGAATTGGAAACGTCGTGCGATCCGTCATCTCAAAAATATACATTGCTGCGCAGCAGACGGAGTCGTGATTTTCAACCATTGAAATACACGAGATGGGACGTTCAGGAATACTCGTGCCAAAAGATAAGAAATGCGCCAATAGGATTGATATCCGGAGGAGAATGACAAACACGGCTTGTCTGTGGTAGAAACAAAGCCCCATTGTGTTACGACACGGCAAAAACAGAGTCCGCGAACAATGCAAAGGTGGAGGTCAGGAAAGGACGCAGTCTCGCCTCGGTCGTGCAGGTGGTGACACGGGTACAGCTGTGTGGCTTGCGCTGTTGAACAAAGACGCTGTGTAACGTGCTACAACCCAAAGATTGCAGTCGCGCTGCTTCACCAGAGCAGGCAGCAGTTGATGGCGTTAGGGTGTAGGAGGTTAGGACATTCCTATATCCGTCGCTGATATGATCAGAAGAACCAAATCGTGGTGACTCTCAGCTTCCACACACGCAATCAATTTGAGCATCAACCCGGCAGACAGTACACTCGATAAGAATAGCGAAGTCATGGCTAGCGAACTTCAAATCGTGCTCGCTATTACGGCTCACCTCGTTGCTAATGTCAGAGACCTTATTCAGCTGGCCATCCTCGTGAAGACCAGGCAACAACGGCCATGTGCCGGTCAAGGTGCGCTTATATCGTGGCAGTCAGCACGCCAACAGAGATAGCGATTGACAGGAGTGTAGGACATGGCGAACACTAGACATGATCTGCAAGGCATCCAACGAACGTCTCTAGGTTAGGGATACTAGAGCACGCATTTTCTCAACAGCTGTCTGCGCTGGCAACAGTCCGAGAAGGTGACAGCAAGCATATCTACTTCAGAGCTGACGAGGTGAAGGTCGTCGGTGGTGCAGCAGGCAATGGGCTTCAATTTTCATGACAGCATTGGCGTTGACTGAGTCCGTATATAAAAGTCTCGTTGCGATGCATGTAGAGCGTTATGACTGTCATTGTAGTCACGCTGGACTAACAGCACTGCTTGGTGATTTCCCTGCCTATTGTTTGCATTCCATCCATTCCAGGCGTGGTCCACTCTTCCCTCCGACACGTGATTATCGCTTAACAGCATCCTCATACTCTTGAATGGCAGTGTTCGCGCTACCCTTTAGACAGCTAGCAGGCTCCCACGTGTCATCCCAGCGTACTCTGTAGTACAGCTTCGATCTACGACGTTTGCTATCCATAATCCGGTCAACAGTCCACGTTGGTTTTGACGGACGAGTCGCGAGTTCAGGTCTCGTGCTCGGCTGATGGTACGATCGTGAATGGGTCTTACTGCCAATTGGGCGTGAGCGTCTTTTCATGCAACGTCACTGGCAAGGCTTCCATGGAGCCTCGCTTTCACTGCTGTTGGTTACATCCGCAGCCAAGCATTCCGACCGTAAATGTGCACTAGACGCCAAAGACTTCTGCAGACGCGATCTTACGGTCTTTCCACGCCTCGCGAAATCTGACTCGGTGAGTTCGGCAGATCGAACATTATCGTCTTGCGCAGATTGTGAACACCGCGAGCTAGCCTTGTGAAGCGAAGCAGCTCGACGTGATGGATCAGCGATATATGGGTGTGGTCGCCAGGGCCCGTTACCTTCAAGGCTGTCAAAACCGGCTGGTGGGATCCAGGTCGAAGCTGGCGATTCGATAGGATGCCTCTCGAACCCATCGCACGTCGCTCGATTCGGCCAACTTGAGGAGCGTGCGGAAGGCTGTCCAGCCAATACTTCGCGAGCAGGCACTTCAGCGTCGGACAACACCCCAAGATTGTCACCTGTTCCTAACAGAGGTAGACTCCGTGTCTTCCGTGCAAGAAGAGGGAACACGTCCGATGACTGTGGCGCTGGCGCCGCAGGACCTTTCCCTAGAGGCCAGCAGCTCGACTACGCTTTTTGGTGGAGGAGGGGGTCCGATCTGCAGGGGTGGCGAACATGCTGCTGTGACGGATTCCGCTAAAGGCATAGGGCTGACACTCGCCGATCTTGCCATCACTGCCATTTCGGCCGTTAGGACCTCAGTATCGGGGATCTGCATGGTCGCCCCAAGGGCGAGATTGCTCCCAGCCCGAGACTGGAGCTGGGATGGACCAGACTTCCGGTTGTACAATGGCGCGATCATCGATGTGGCATGAGGCTCGAGGGGGTGATCTATTGCTCACATGTCAGCGTCCCAAAGTCAGGCAGGATGGCTCGATTCTGGTTGATAGACGTACGGTCGACCAGTGGCTGGTAAGGGCTCGATAAGCTGAACACGACTTCGCGAGGGCGGCTCCTTGAGGCAGGGAAACGTTCGGACGTCTTACATACGGTCGACTGCGAAGGTGGGCCGTAATAAAAGACCATGTTGTCCAGCGACGCTGTAGAGGTCATCGCCCTGGTTGAAGTGTTCGTGCTAGCAGTTTACACCCGGCTCTGGAAGGTGCGGGCACTGTCAAGCACCAGAAGATCGTGAACAGAGCAGGATAGATCCGCGGGCTGAGCACAGCATATAACCACATCGCATGTGGAGCGGACTTGCCTGCCGCTTCCAGTTTTCTCCTTTGGAGACTAGGACCGGCTTGCGACAGTACCTAAAGCGCTCCTTGCCTATTCCAGTCGCAAGCACAGTCCGTTGAGGTATTAGCGGCACCAGTGTAGTCACGCGCATGCGTGCATGAGAGCCTAGCGCGTCGGCAACACTCAGGAGTTTATTCGCCGAAACACGAGACGACGAACGTGTCAGGATCGTGCATAAATCATAGGGCGAAGCAGACAACATGTGGTCGCCATTGGCGCCCATGTGATACGGACGCGCCGCAACGAGGCCGCAGATGGAGGGAGTGGGATGTGATCGGCTGGCCACGGTAAGAATGGATAGGCGAGATATGCTGGGATCAACAACGCACGTCCAGATACATGAATTGCAGTCTTGCGCAGCCGTGGCACAGATCCATGGGCAGTTGGCCGGTGAAGGGCGTTTTCAAAGAACGCTCTCTTGCAGTGATACGTGGGCCAAGTATTAGGAAAGGTCGGCGGAGCCTGGCAATGCGCAGGCTGGCTGTTCCGGTCGTAGAGGCCGCGTCCTCGGGACGATGGCGATTTTCGATGGCCAGGCTCCCATCTCGCACCCTCCCACCCGCAGGATGCGTCAGCTGTGGAGGTGCAGCGTCGCCGGCGGTCAAAGATCGCGATGCTGGCGGACAACAGGATCGTGCAGTCGCATTGCGAGCAAACAGGGCCGAGGATGTCAGGTATGCGTCGCGAGTGAAGTCGAAATGGTGGCGGGCCCCTCACGCTTGATCGGATGCGGCCGGCGCTTGAGCCCGTCCGGACCGCGCTTCACCCGATCGGGCTGCGCCCCGATCGAGGCGCAGTTTCGGCGCGACGAATTTTATAAGCTAATAGCTATGTGTTACTATAAGCCGTTAAGCTTAGAATTGCTATAGCAGGGCTAAAAACTAGCGTTAGGTCTAGCAGTAACTAACACTATCTGTACATAGAACTGTCTCTTACGTAATATAGAGTACGTTTTGCGGCTTACGGGTCTCGAGTCTTATCTAGCTATTGTATAGGTACGTTTATATAGGAACGCATTATAGCCTATAGCTCTGCACGCTATACAAATAGAGACTAGCTAAAAGTCTAGCTTACTTTCTTCGATTAGTATCTAGCAATTTGGCCCCTCTAGAGCATATCCAAAGATAGGACTGTTTGAAGCACATCTGACTCATGGTTTCTAGTCGGTCACTCTGTCCAAACTTTGGCTCTTCTTGGCTAAACTATCCTGGGCCTAGTAATGAGAACATGGCCTATGGTTCTCGTGCCATGTTGGGTTAGAGCGGGGTTGAGGGATTTAATTGGAAGGGCGATTCGATTGGGCTATGGTAGTGAGGCTATGCAATCCTTAACTCAGCCCAGCATTGCGAGTTTCCCACTTTGCTATAAAACATCAAAGAACATCGAGTCGCCCTGGCCAGGCTTGGGCTTTCGAAAGCGTTGCGATGGCGCTGATAGCTTCTGGATATTCAGACGTATCATCGCTGAACTACTTCACTACTCCACCCGCTGTTGGTGTAATTTCCGACTACATCAACAATCCGAACTACACCATCGGACAACAAGTGAACCTAGAATGGCAAACGTACATTACAGTGGGGGTGAGTTTGTGGCTCTACCAAGTCGCCAGCACGTGGGAATACGCCGCGATCTTTAAGGGACAATACCCAGTGCCCACGACTTATGCATGGACGGTCTCTAATCTGGATTTCGCCCTCGCCAATGGAACTGGTAAGAGCCTCCCATCCGTCCGAGTGCAAACATTTGCGTTGTACACTAGCGAGGAGTGAGAGTCGGGGCTGATGAGGCGTGTGCAGTGTTCTACTTCCACCTTACAAATTCGACGGATACAGGGGACAACGATCCAGCCCCCGGGTGCTTCAGCCATTTCTTCAACATCCTAGAAGCGGATTCGAGCACGCCCGGCGACTCTTCGTCGGCGAGTACATCAGCTCTAACAACGTCGACTTCAAGCCCTGCGAGCAGCACCGCCGCAACATCCACGAACGCGAGTCCGTCAGCGGCGACAACGCTCTCACCGTCAGCATCGCCGCCCGATGCAGCGCCAGCACAACAGAGTAGTAGCCTCTCATCTCGCGCCAAGGCTGGGATTGGTGTCGGCATCGGCCTTGGAGCGGCTGGCATCCTGGTGGGCGCCTTGATCTGGTTCATACGTAGGAAGCGATCTGCATTGCGGCAGAAACAACCGAGCCCCCCCTTCACACAGCAGGTGGATCGATATCATGATAATGGCGCAGCGAGCAGGCGCGACGAACTCCCGCAGTACGAGAAGCGGCAGCCGCTAGCTGGAGAGGAGGCAACGCATGAGATGCCGGTCAATGGGCAGAGACACGAGCTGGGTGGCCCGGATGTGCACGAGTTGGGTGGTACGACAAGTGAGATAGTGTGTTGACGTTGGTACCGCTCGTAAGCTCCTTTCAAGTGCTTTTCAAAGGCTGGGTAGGTATGCTACATTCATACACGTGTGCATCGTCCGAGTGCAGGATTCCATTCCTATACCTCATCATTTCCTAAGCAGCCGCCTGCGCGCTCCTGACCGCCGACACCCTCTGTGCCAGCAAGCCGAAACCCACCTCGCGGTAGTCGTCTGGCATGTGCTCTCCACTAGCGATACAATGCACCTTCATGTTCTCATGGTACTTCAGCCCGCTGAGCAACCTTGGCGTGATCAGGAAGTACTGACTTGCGCTGCTCTCCGCATACGCCATGTCCACCATCCGAGCGTGCATCAAGCGCTCGTTGCGCTGGTCCATACCCTGATTGATCTCATCGACCACGCGGAAAGGAGCGCGAGCGAGGGACTGCAAGGCCATGAGGTAGAAGATGGTGGAGACCGCGCGCTCACCGCCGGACTGCTTGCGATGGTCTAAAACAGGGAGAGTTTCGTTTTCTCTGTTCTAGTGGTCAGCAGGCTGAATGGAAAGGTAGAGAAGAGAGCTGGAGCGGACGTAACTGAACCTCACCTTGATCGGAATCGCCCACTGCTCAAAGTCCTCATCCTTGTGCACAGAAACCTCGCCCGCACACTGGATCTTCGCGATGTTCTCCGCAAACGCCTCGCTGATCTGGGCAATCAGACGGTCGAGCTTTGGCTCCCACTGCTCCCGGATGTCCGTCAGGTCCGTTTCCAACGCCTCGAGCCCAGCGTCTACTGCCTCTTTCCTCCTGCTCAGCTTTTCGATTGCGTGCGCGCGGTCCTCGTATGCCTTCAGGATCTGCTGCCCACCAGCACCATCGTTCATCTCGAGCTTGGCATGCATGCTTTCGATCTCCAGCTCGAGCCTCTCCGGCTCCCACTCCTTGACCTCATCATGCGTCTCATGGAGGCACATCACCCTCCTCCATCGATTCGCCGATACCCTTGCATATGTCGCCGAGCTTGCCTCCGTCCGCCAACGCCTTCTCCTTAACAGCACGGAAGTGTCCACTTCCCTCCTCAGCTCCAACAACTCCTTCTCCTCCTGCGTATGCTCCTTTAGCTTCTCAAGGTCGTTCTTCGCTTCTACGGCCAGAATCTGCGCCTCCACGTGTTGCACGATCAGGTCGCGGAGTGCCACAACCGCGTTGCCATAGTCGATTGCTAGTTGTCCCTTCTCCACCGTGAGTCGATCACCTCTTCCGGCGACATCTCTTCTCGTCGCTCCGAGCGCATTGATCTTCTCTGGCGCTTCGGTTAGCTTGTCTTCAGCACTCTCGAATTTCGTAGGCAGAGCATTGTCTTGCGATAATGCCTTCTGCCTAGTGTTCTTTTCTTCTCTGATGTCGGCGTCCTCTTGCACCAACCTCTCGCGACTCTCGCCTTTGCCTTGAATTCTCGACTCAACTCTGCCTTGGTCTGCTGATATTCCTCGATCGTGCGCTGCGCCGTCTCAACCCTTGCCTCCATATTCGCGTCTTCATGCTGCGCCGCTGACACATCTGTGAAGTATCTTGTCATGGACGTCACAGACTCAGGATTACGCGCGTGCGCGTACCGCTGAGACTGCTCCGTTGTTTACGTACTACAGAGCAGGATGCGTCCTGCGAGATGCTCTGCTGCTCTGTATGCTCTGCATGCTCTGTACGGACAGGACAGAGAAACAGAGCATACACGAATCTCCTTTGTATATAGCGATGGCTTTGTGCCGAGTACTTAGGAGCTTCGTGCTCAACCTCAAGTACAGGAGTCAGCGATAGGTTTTACCTACTGCCAATCAACGAATCGCTCATTGAGTCTCAACCGTCCACGCCTAGTTACCTTCCTGCCCCATTGGCAACCCCTTATGACATATCTCGCTTGGCCAAGCTGATTCGCTCGCATTGACGTGGCGTATTCTCCAGACTCGCGCCGCCGCAACACCTGAAAGCTCTCCGTGCTGGTCACCCAGCTCGTGATTGGGCTCTGTGGGCCTTTGAGGGCATCCACCGCGGCGTTCCCCAGCTGATCTCGCGTCATATATCCCGTAGCGTGAATTCTGCGGTTATCGCACAGCATAGCCAGCACGCCTCCGGCCCTTCGATAAGGTCAAGTATCCATCCTTTCAGGCCGTAGGAGCGGAGCTGCTCGTCCGTGCACGGCGCCCTGAAGTTAGCTAGAGGCGTGCCAGACTGCCGGATATTGATCCGATCCAACCTCAACTCATCATGCACCACCTTCCCCAGCTCGCGGTAGTCATCCCGGGAAGTGGCGGTGAACGCGATCATCTTGCCTTGACCGAGCGCGCTTTCCACCTGTCGCGCAAAGCGCGGATCCCTTGCCGAGCACGAGACTATGGGAGGACCGTAGATCTCACCCTGAAAGCGTTCGGGATGCTTCTGGATCCATTCCCAGGCTCTGTGCGCCTCCGGAGAGGCACGTTTGAGCTTTTTAGCCTGCTGGCCCGCTTGCGTGTTGAGGCTAGCCTTCTCGGCTTCTGCTTGCTCAATGATAGCGGCCCGCTGCTTGATGTGCTGGCTTAGACTCCCGATCTCTAGACGAATCTCCTCACGCCTAGGGTCAATGTCTCTAATCTGCCTCGTCACTTCCCGGAGTCGCTCATTATAGGCCGGAAAGTCGATGTCTGCGGGCCTATCCTCAATAGCACGCTCAAGAGCTGTCTTGTTCCGCTGCAGACCGGGCATATCCTGCTTCGCTTTATCCGAGAGTTTCTTCGCGGCCGCAGTCTCCCCATCCAGCTCTTTGATCTGCTGTTTTTTCGCCTCGATTGCAGTCTTGATATTACTTGCCTGGTTCTCGCTCTTCTCGGCCATGTTCGCGCACTTCGGCACGACCTGCTCGTTACGCTTCAGGTAGGCATCCTTCTCTCGCTCTGCCAGCAAATTTGGCTCCGTTTGACGCTGTAGCCGCGCGAAGTCTTTCTCAGCCTTCTTATGCTCATCTTTAGCCTCCTTGAAAACCTTCTTGGGAAGCTGATATTGCGGAAACGGCCTAAGCTTCTACAGCGCAGCGACGCGAGCCTGCCAAGTCTGGCGCTCCCGCAGGCGCTCGACGTCCCCACGCTGGTCTTGCTGACGGTCTTCCTTTGCCTTGAGCTCGTCATTGATGGCTTGCTGCTCGTTCAGCTTCCACTTTTGCTCCTTGCGCATGGTATGAGCTGATCATGCCACTCGCACATCTGCGGCGGCGCAGCAGCGCGTTACATGTCCGCCAATAACTGGATCGGTGACAGCTTGGCGAATTCTGAGATTTTGTCTTGAGGCAGACATTGGCACAGATTGTCCACTTGGATTGAGAAGCTGCGCGTTAGGTCCCCGACGGCCTTCTTCGACTTCTTCTTGCCGTGAATCAGGAAGTCGACCTGTTGACCTTTGGACCTATGTCCTTTCTACGTGATGATCGTCGTGATGGCTGGGTTCTCCGCGTGCCGTGCCCAGTCTGCGGCTAGTTCGATCTCAATCTCGGCGCGCAGGGTGCCGTTCTTGACAAAGTCGTCCTCTTTACTCGGCCACCTAGGTGCTTTCGCTCCCAGCCAAGACCGAGACAGATGGCGCAGACCAGAGTACTCTTGCCAGTGCCATTTGGGCCAATGACCATATTCAGGTTTAGGCCGGGGTGAAACTCAGCGGCACTGTATGTGACGAACTTCTTGAGACGCACGCGGATAATAGACTGTTCGAGACCATTAGCCTAGATTCCCATCGCTCAAGGCATGACACCACTCACTCCAGGCTGATGTTGGCTCGGCACGCATGCACCTCGCGGAGACCGCCGAAAGCTGTCGGGCAGCAGCGACCCTTCAGGAGACTGCGATCCATGCTCGAGCCGATTCTCGTTATCTTCTTCAAGTCCGTCCTCGTCCTCTTCATCCTCAGGATCCTCGTCCTGCTGCACACGCTGCCGTTTGTTCTTTGGTGTGCTCGCGTAGACCTCGCTATCTTCGTCATCGATCTCATTTTCGGTGTGCCGGCGACGCTGCGACACCTGTCCACGTGCCATGGTGTGCGTGAATACGAGTGATGTCGTTGGCTTATCGTTGATTTGGCGATGTCAAATGGTTCGCGACAGAGACGCGTTTGCGCTAAGGAAACACACGCGCGGGGACGGGAAGTGGGGCGATCCTTAACTAGGTGGCTTTCAATTGACCTTCTACTCTACAGTACATGCATACAAGAAATCTTCGTGAATGACGTACGCTCTGGCGACGGAACGTAGCACGCCTAGGCGGTAGGCTAGCCTAAAGCTACATGCGAGGGGTGTACGTGAGGCTGAGAGCTCGCAGAAAGGCGGCATGCCCTAATCTACCACTCATGGCTGTAAGGATAGCTTTCATCACGATGGACTCGAGTGAGTCGCAGTCAATGCTACCTAGCGATCTGGGCTTAGACGAAGATACCTTACCCGCCTATTCGGATGCTAGGAGTTCACGGACCAAGCTATAGGCGAGCTGGCTAAAGGATTTCTGGTGGTGCTTCTTTTCACGCTATCTAGGTCGGCGCAGAAACACGGTCAAGGAGAACAGTAAGGATCGGAGGACTGTCAGCGTCGTAAGGTCTTGCTACTGCCCTTGTCTCCTTCAAGACGAAGACTAGCCGCCGGTGGCGACGACTTGGCTAGAATGCATTAGCAACAAATCACCTAGTACGTGCCGTAGAGGACTTGTCGCACCCTCTACCACACAGATCAACTCCGCAGCCCCGCCTTGAGGTCGTGATGGGCGTCTCCGTGGAATGCCGAGCTGTGTTTGCGCAAGCCCGTTGAAAAGTGTGATTGACACGTGTTTAGCAAATCGCTTGGATGGACTCCCACTGAACGTTTATGTGAGCTCGTTGCCTGAAGTGGGCGTACCCGCTATGCACGAAGCCCTGTTTTGACTGCACACAGGATCTGACGCTCCAGAAACCTACAGAAACCTACGGTGCAGGAGGCAACCCCGCAAAAGCTAATGCCGCAGTATCCTACTACTAGAGATATGCTGCAGAAGATAACAATGAGCATCTCATACAAGTAGACCTGCGACGCTACTCGGGCTCGACTTGGTTGTGAATAGACTTCGACGCTGGAACCTGCCCTTTTGCTCCACATTGTCCACTACCAAGAACGAAAGGGCACGAAGGAAGCACTAGCAAAGCAGCAGTCTTGGCCCTTGGCATCAGGATGAACACTTGCGACGGTGACCTGGGTAGCTTTTGCAACGTTGAGGCTGAGCACCCTAGGTTCTCTCAACCCCTAAGGCGGCCGTAGCCTTCTCCCTTACGCCTGTTGCTTTCTCTGACTATAGCAATTGAGCTCCGTTTATTCCAACGCCTTGGCGAATCGGACACCACGGTCAAGTCCGTGAATCTCTACACCAGAACTTAGCTCGAATGATATGCAAGTGGAACGTCACGCGCAACTTGATTCGACACTTGGATAGTGCATAAACGTGCAACGAGGATCCAATGCTCGCACCTGCTTTATATGGCCTTCTACTTGCGAACACATTATCCCAGACGCGCTGGCAGAAGGAATCGGGTGTCAGCCGCTAGTCTATTACTGTTCAGCATTGCAGGTACTGCCTTGCTATAGTAGACCTACCCTAGCATCAAGAGTGCAATCTGGGGACTGAAGACCCCCGCTAGCCAACCTCATCTCAACATCCTAGCTGAGACCGACAGCACTCAGAAAGCACTTGTTATACTTAAAACCCGGCATGCCGACGTCCGCTGGGTTGGCGACCTCGACGCTAGCCTGTGGGTATCACGACCAATGCTAAGATATTCATCGCCGATCATACTCAGCGACATCACCGCGTTCATATGCAGCACAGACGTAAAGCCCGAATCCCGATACCTGCTGCCGAAGTTGCGGAGGGGACGTAAGGCTGCCGCGTACTTATCCTACATCCTTGATCACTACGATATACTTCCCAGGTACACCTTCTTCGTCCATGCTGCGGGGATCAATGGCATAACGATATCCTGTCTAAGTACAATAACCAACCGAACACTATACGCAATTTTCGCACCGCTGCCAAAGATGCTTATAGCTTTGTCAATTTGCGCTGCAGGCTCTCTTCGTCTTGTCCAGTAGCTGTTCACCCGTTTGCGGCCACCGATCTGGATATGAAGCTGCTGGAAGCAGGGAGAGACTATGCCGACGTGTATATGGAAATCTTCAACGTTTCACCTTGAGAAGTTCCCGAAGTCATTGGTGCTGTGTGTTGCGCTCAGTTCGCTGTCAGTCGTGATCGGATCCGAGCTCGACGGCGCGAGGACTATAAGCGAATGATGTGGTGGGCTGGTAGAACGACGTGGACTAACGACTTCGGGGTGGCTCTGGTTTTCGAGAAGTTGTGGCACATCATCTTCGGAATGACTGCAGTACAGTGAGTGCGTTGTAATCATATACAGCCGGAACTCACTAATCCGAGTAGTTGTCCTAGATACGAGCAGTGTCGATGCGACAATTTTGGTTGGTGTGGACCGCTGCATACCGATGAGGTCCTGATACCGACAGGGTCGACGGACTGATAGCCAAGTGCTGTACAGTACGTGGGAGCAAAGTAGATGGTGCTAGTTGCCACGATAGTCTATCCCGATTCTGTGAATGCCTATGTTGAACCGGTGTTCGTAGGTCAGCGTTTGTTCGGGCGTTGCGTAGAAAGAAAGGCTGCAAGGCTAGTCGACGCGGCGCCACGACCTTCACACACAAGACGGGAGCAGCACTGCCCTAAGACGAACTGTTATTGTGGTGCGTATGACAAGAGACCGATCTGCCCTTCACCCCGCCACTGCTTTCGTCACCATCTCATAATCTGGCGGTCGGAGCAGACATGATCAAGTCGTGTCGCAGCCCAAAGTCAAGCGCATTGGAGGAAGCATCTGGGTGCGTAGTATGTAAGGCAGCGGAAGTTGGAAAGGCTACCGCGGATCTGCTGGCTGAGAAGTACTGCTGTGGATTGACCTGGCCGATCAAAAGAGGCTGCCTCTCGTTGCGAGACCATCAGATTCTTGCACGTAGGCTACCGCACTGCCATACCGTGAGTCAGATCACATATCCCAAACGTTCTCGCCAACAACGAGGGCTAGTCCTCCCTTAGCAGTCTTAGACCTGCTTCTCCGCGATCAAGCTCATGCGCCGCTCGCCACTCTGCTTGTGTCCGACAGCCGGGAGTCCAGTCTCTGGATCGATCGTCAAGCTTCCAGCCCTCGCCGCCTGCACCAAATTCGGGTTCTGCTCCGCCAGACGAGCAAAGTTCTTCTCGGCTTCCCAGTTCCAGATGCTGTCCGATGCAAAGACCAAGTTCATCTCCTCAAGCTATTGCAAATCAGTCATTGTTAGCCATCAAAATTTCACACTCGGGTCCTCTAGAAGCTTACCGTGCGCTGGTTGGTCTCTGGGTACAAGGCCCATACGACAAGTATTGAGAGGACGTTGACCCCACCGAAGATGTACAACGTCTTCTCATTGAGCGCGGCGAAGATGGTCGGCAGCAAGAGCACACACCAGCCATTACCAATGCTCCATCCCACGACACCCCATGCGTTACCCTTGGCGCGAACCTGCAATGGGAAGATCTGGGCTCTGTCAGTCGATGTTCTGATACGATCCACACCAGAAGACATACCTCTGCAGGGTAGAGCCACGGCACAGTAAGCCACGTCGCGCCGAAGATGGCAGTGTAGAGATATACAAAGAACACGGCTGCTCCGCCAACGTGCGTCTTATGCGATCCAGTGGCGATCTGTGTCGCATACGACAAACCACCAGCACAAAAGCAGCAGATACCCTGTCCTACCGCACCCCAGTATAGTGTCCAGCGTCGGCCGATGCGGTCTAAGGTGAACACACAGATCAGGGTGGCAAGCTTCACACTGTTAGTCATTTCCGCAGCCGTTCCGGGCTTTACGTACCATGTATGTGATGTTGTTGAGCCCACTGACCCACTGACGGTCGGCGGCTGCGATGCCAGCAATTGTGAATATTTCAGGACCATAAATCGTGATGCCCGCAATGCCAATCCACTCTTGTAGGATCTGTAACCAGATCACCAGCTGCACCCGTCGGGCGGTGTGCAGTTTGCCCTGCTTGATGCCGAAGAACATGGCGAAATAGCTGGTCGACTGCGAATTGTCATGCTCCAGTCTGACAACGTTCTGAATATCTTGGAATTCGGCATCGGCAATACCGTCCTCTTCGCCGCGCAGCCGGCCCAGAATGAAGCGTGCTTCCTCGTCTCTGCCGACCTTGACGAGCCATCTTGGGCTCTCGGGCATGAACCACACAACGATGAAGAGGCCTAAGTCGTGTCAGCTCGATGCAAGAACGGCGAGAACGGGTTAAAGCTGCCACTGACCAATGAGAGGTACGATCTGGAAAGCGATGGGAAACCTGTTGTCGTTGTCAGCTCCGCGATACCGGGTCAATACTGCCGGAGTGCTCACCTCCAGACGAAGCTCGATGTCCCATCGCCATAGAAAGATGTACCGTACTCAATCCAGTAAGCGACAACGACTCCGAAGATATTGAGCGTAAATTCGATGGATACTAGTCGGCGTCAGCAGAATGTTCCCGCCATGTCCGTTGCCATTTCTCCACCGTACCAAAGGCGCCGCGCGAGGTGTGCGAGGCAGTCTCGGTAGCCCAGACCGGCGTGATAGCATTGAGTATCCCCGTTCCAATGCCGTTGAACACACGCGCTATCAAAAGTCAGCTTGAATCGCCAGCGTCGCCGAAACACAGCAGTATACCGCAGAACATCCAATTGGCATTCTGTGCCGAGCACTGAAGAATAGCACCCACTATCGCCCATACACTGGCGATGCCTATTGTTGCAATGCGACCGTAGCGGTCTCCAAGCCAGCCGCCCCAGAGAGCACCAACGAGGGTACCGGGCAAATAGTAGACAGCGACCTGACGATAGCAATTAGCTCTGAGCTTGCGCTGAAGTCGTGTGTTTGCTCACAATGCCGCCCTGTAGAAGCGGACGGTCGACTTTGACCAACCCATCGGCTTCATCGAAATGGCCGAACCCCATCAGTTGAGCTACCAAGACGTCAGCCATCGCCGTCTCGGGTAGATGAATCTACACTTGTGTTACCATAGTTGCGAGCCGTGTTCACGCCACCCATTACTCCTGAAATAACTTAGTCAGTGGCTAGGAGATGAACCAGCGTGGATGGGGACCCGCCCTGATCGTATCCTGGATATCGTTAGCGATCAGCCACAGCACGAAACACGCCTTGCAGTGGTGTGGAGCCTACCAAAGAAGAAGATGGACAAGGCTGCCACACAGTTGACAGCGATGAGCAGAGCGCGCTTCTCGAGGCGGTTGGCGACGCCATGCTTCTGAAAGTATTTGGGGCGCTTCAGGGCCATGTCTTGAGAGGCGTTGATAGAGTTGCAGTCAAAACAGTATGCCGTTATTCACATTTGTTCAAGCACACGGCGGATGCAGGCGACTCATATACGAAAGATTGATCGTATTGATCGTCCATAAGATACCCAAGGCCTTCAGTTGGCGAGTTGATCGGGGAACTGTCGTTTTCCCCGAAGGCTGGTTTGCAGTTTCATCTCGGGATGCAGCGGTGGATCGCCGCCAAGATAATCCTCTCTCAGCGAGCAGGGTCTGTGCAGACGGCAGATGTGGGGTTGGAAATCTTCCGATTTGGAGACCTGTGAGAGGTGACGCTTTGTAGTCATAAATACTTCGTAGATGGTGCTGACCCGGGGCAACCACTCCTCTCCCCAAGGTCCTTGAAGCATACGACGCGGTGTACAATACCCATACGTCGCCTCGATGCGCTTCTAGATCTCCGAGTCCTGCTGAAGACGGGCCACCCAAACGGGGGAAGCTCGACGTGGGTCCAAAGTCTGATCATCCTCGACGGATAGAGACGTCGAGACGCAAGAATGCATGTCAGTCCTGTCGCATTCGCAAGGTAAAGTGTGATAGCGTTCGCCCTGCCTGCAGCATTTGCCAGGCTACGGGATCGAGATGTGTCTATACCGACTTGCTACCGCAGAAGCTCACGTAAGTGCAAGTGGTCCTCTGAGAAGAAGCCACACTAAGTACTTACTAACGTAGTCACGCTGTTACACACTTATCTGAGCTACGTTGCGAAGGGCCACCCCTAATACATAGGCATGGTTGTGAAGGAAAATGGGTGATGGCGCATAGCGGCGGTCCTGCTGGAGTACGCAAAGACAATTAAGTGTATGCAGATGGACGAAGTGAGGTCGCATAAATTGATAGGAGGCAGTCGGTGTTCCAATGAGCAAGCGTCGGTCGAGGTCTTGGAATAGTCGCAGGCCTTTTGCGACATGAGTCTTAACTCTAGTGTACTCGCCCTCTGTTTCGAGCGGCATAATGCAGGACAAGATGGTTTGCAAGAGTAGCATATCCTATTCGAGTTCAGCCTCGTGCCAACAGATTGCTAAGAAGTTGCCGCGGAGACGACGTGTAGACGTAGCGCGCAACGTCCTCTCGCTTGCGGACTGGCGACTCTCTATCCTTCCTTGCACGACTCTTCGCGATGACACACAAGCAGTTCCACAAGTATAAGTTAATCTAAGACATCCGGCGAGAAAACGAAACAGCTGCCAACGAGCGAAACCAGTGACGGAATCGAAAATCCACATGCTGTTACCTTGACGCTCTCCGGTACATTAGCAATCCTAGAGATGACCTGCATTGCGGAAAGAGCGACTGACACGATCGTAAAGAATGCAATCAAAGCTGCGTAACGATGCTCGAGGTAGCTTGCGTATCACGATACGGAGAGCAGTAGGACAATCCTAGCAGCCTCAATGGGAAGATTGTGTCGGACCTGTTCGTGCAGAGCTGTTCGGTCTCGTACCGAGTCATCGGCGGGGATGATCGCACAGCAGACTTGGGCGCGACCTATACACTGTGGCTTTGATGTTGTATAGGCTGGTCCAAAACCTCGATAGTGATTCCTTCGAGGCCTGAGAGATCCCTGAAGCTCCTGGCCAAGAGCTCGCCCATAATTTCGACGACTCGTACGCTGTAGGTGTGCCGAACATGGAGGTTCACATAGCGTGTCAGGTATCGACGACGTATCTCCACAGCCCGGCTCGGCGGGTTGGAGAGTGTCATCTCTCTAAACATTGATTCTCCTAGGCTGTGTAAAAAGCGGTGAGGCAAGAGACATAGCATCCACGATATATCGATCCAGAACATGAGCAGACCGTTGTAAGACGAGGATTCGCAAGCAATTGCGGGAACGTCCAGGTCGCTGGTCAGAAATAGTTGCTGTCGGGTCGCTGAAGACTCGGAGCTGATGAAGTGTCTAGAGCGTCGACAGACCTGGGCAAGTCGCAAGAGGTCCCTTTCCGAGAGCATTGAAAGGACCGGATCCCATAGTTCGTTTGGTAGCGACCCGGGAAGACTGTTGTTGGGATGTGAGCCCCAGATGGCGGCTTATTGGGCGGCTTCTGTCAACGCAGCTTAGTATATTGGGGTAGCAGAGCGTCAGGAGATACACACTTGCTCACTATACACCACTCAAGACCCTTCGCATAGTTCGAGCGATGTATGTGCGGTGATCTATGTGTAGTCGCGGCGTATTACGGTAGTCCCGAGCCTACGGGCACTCCCTCGGGCCGTCAGCAGGACCCGGCACCGCGCTGTCAAGCTTGATGCTCTTCCGCTGTTGTAGGGGTTTGCTGAAAGAGCACCTCAAATATGGCCGACGAAGTCAGCACATTCGAGGATGTCGCTGGTAAACGTGAGAGCACGAGTTTCACACCTACAAAACACGTCCGGCAACGACTTAGGAGGAGCAGTAGCGCATTCGGGAGGGCCCAGTGACTGCCTTGGGAGCCGGAAAGCAGATTTCGCCCTGGCTTGAGCTGAATCGGTGGCCACGATACATGGAAGGCGTGGCCCTTTTGGACGCCGCTCCGCTAGTGTACCTGCCGGATCCGGCTATGGAGCGGGTCTGACTCATGATATGTGACGCCCTTGATGAATTTGTCGGAGCAGCGCGGAGCGCAGTGTGCGAGGATCGGATCAAGGCCTTTGAACAGGTCCGCATTAACAGCTTCCTACAGCGGCCTCGAGCCTCAGACCGCCAGCTAGTAGTGTCGCTTCAGAAGCCGACCTGCCGTAGCTACGTCAATATCTGGAAGGCGCTCCTACGCTTTGACGAGTCAGATGCGGACGATAAATACAATAAATGGCCATGAAAGATCAACGACCGGTTCACCTTCGGTTGGCGCGCCGTGCAGTCCACGGGGGAATAGTCGTTTTCCCCGAATGTTTCACTTTGGGGCGGAATGCCGCCAAGAAGCTCCACTCAGCGAGCAGGTGTTCCGAAATGTGCATGGGAGGAGCGCGGAGTGCAAAGACGGCAGGCCTTGGGGTTGCATCCCGTCCACATAGGGCAGCTGTTGAAAACCTTCCGATTTGTAGACCTGTGGGAGGTGACGCCGTGTAGTCAGAAGTATTTGGTAGACGGTGCTGAACTTCGCGGTGCTGATCTCGGACAAGCACTCGTTTGCCCGAAGTCTGGAAGCCTGCGACGCGATGTACGATACTCACATGTCGCCCGATCGCAGCTCGAGATCCCCGAGTCCCGCTAAAGACAGGCCTTCTAAGTGGCGGAAGCTCGTCGTCGGTCTAGAATCGGATTATTATCCTCGACGGAAAGAGACGTCGAGACGCGAGCATGCGTCTCAATCCTGTCGTCTTCGCAAGGTAAAGTGTGACAGCGTTCGCCCTGCCTGCGACACTTGCCTGCGGCGTATGCCAATACGCCGTTCTTTCGTCCCTAGTGGTGTGTATTGTCTGCTATGCTCTGCGACGCTCCTTGCTGTCAGAAACACGACGACATGTCTTCGACTTCCACCACCACCGTGGCGCCCTGGAAAGCGAATATTGGCGTCTACACTAACCCGGCACACGATCTGTGGGTTGGCGAGGCATCGCCTAGCAAGGATGAGTGGAGAAGGGCGAGATTTTGAAGCCTGGCGAGGTCACCGTGGCTATTAAGAGCACTGGCATCTGCGGGTAAGCAGGAACAATGACAGCCAATAGTGGCGGAGCATAACGAGTACTGAGGTATACACAGCTCCGATGTGCACTTCTGGCACGCTGGCCGCATCGGGCCCATGGTCGTAGAAGACGCACATATCCTAGGCCACGAGTCTGCCGGCATCATAGTCGCCAAGCACTCTTCGGTCACAACGCACGAGATTGGCGAGCGCGTGGCTGTTGAGCCGAATATAATCTGCGGCGAGTGCGAGCCCTGCTTGACGGGCCGATACAATGGCTGCATGAAAATCGAGTTCCAGTCGACGCCGCCAATTCCGGGCTTACTCAGGAGATATGTCAACCACCCGGCGGTGTGGTGTCACAAGATCGGGGACATGAGCTACGAGGATGGCGCGCTGCTGGAGCCGCTAAGTGTGGCTTTGGCGGGAGTGCAAAGGGCGAATGTCACACTGGGTGACAGCGTGCTTATATGCGGCGCCGGACCTATAGGGCTCGTAACTCTAGCATGCATCAAGGCGGCTGGCGCAGAACCGATGTTATCACGGATATTGATGAGGGCCGGCTGAAGTTCGCCGAGGACTTTTGCCCGAGCGTAAGGACACACAAGGTCGACTTCAGCCACACACCAGAACAGTTCGCAGAGGCTGTAGTGAAGCTGGCGGACGGCGTAGAGCCGGCGTTGGCTGTGGAGTGTACGGGCGTTGAGTCTTCGATCTCTGGAGCAATACATGCGGCGAAGTTTGGCAGCAAGGTCTTCGTGACTGGCGTTGGCAAGCCGGAGATAAAGATCCCATTCATGCGGTTAAGCACAAGGGAGGTCGACCTACAATTCCAGTACCGATACGCAAATACCTGGCCAAGGGCGATACGGTTACTTAAGGGTGGCGTCTTGGACCTGACGAAGCTTGTGACTCACCGATACGAGCTGGAAGACGCCGTGAATGCGTTCAGGGTTGCGGCAGATCCTAAGCAGGGTGGGATCAAGGTCATGATAACGAGCATGGAGGAGGGCGATAAATAGGATCAATGAACCTGCACGTCTGGACGAAGATCACGCTTCGGATAAGGAACAGTCTCATCTAATCTTACAAGTAGTACTAACACAGTATACTCAAACTTTTGGACACTTTCCGATACTAAATCATCTCATATACTAACATAGGTAGCCAAGTCTAAACGCTTGCAGCAAAGATCCATCGTACCGTCCGAGGTCTGCTGGCGTTGTCAGTCAACATACTCAAGACAAGATGTATCTTTGCTCACCACTCAGAAACGCCGCCTAGGCAGCTGGTCGCTCGTCAGCACGTTCCAACAACGGCACAAAGTAGATGTTCCTCATTTGATCTCCCCACCATATCCGGCTGTCGAAGGATCCACCGGCAAGCCAACCACCGGCCACTGCGGTAGCAACCCGGTCTCGCTGCAGACGGGCAGTTTTCAAGGCTTCACCGCGGATCTCATCTGGGGCAGAGTCGTACAGGAGCTGGTCCAAGTGTTGTGAAGACAGCGGGATGTGGACGCCGGACATGATTCCGTTCTCATGGTAGCCGGTCGGACGTAAGATCAAGAAGTCCTGGTGCCGGGCTTTCAGGCGTTCCAGCTCGGACATCAGCGTTAGCGGCTGCATGGTGCAGGTCTCTGCTGTGAGGTGGGCGAAGGAGCTCGCGGCCTCCTCGATGGCATCCTTGATGGCGCACGACGTCTGCAGCTCGTCCGCTAGCGCACACCAGTCAATCTGCTCTTCCTTCGGCATGGCTTTGACACCTGGCGCTACCATTTGGATGTCGTCGAGCCTCATCTCGGCGTGCGCGGACAGCTCCATCAGCGCGGCTTTGGCGAAGCTCTCGGTCACGTCGAGCTCAGTGACGAGTAAGAACTTCTTCTACCCAGTCTTACGTTCCAACACATGGTTCAAGACCTGCATCATCACCCGGGAGTTGATGCTTCTGTTCAATGGCGGCTCTATTCGCAGCTTGCTGTGCATCGTCGTGCCGTAAGGGAAGTTCATGAAGAAGCATTGACCAACCTTGGCCGTGCTGGTGCCTCGCTGGTAGTCCCTGGAAATGAAGCGAAATTGGTAAGTAATTTGGGGGGAGCATCCGAGCTGCACTAGCCGGAGTACCCCAGTAACAAGTATAGCTTCGAGTGACTGATGGAAATCGCTGTGGACAGTCTTCCTTGGAGATATGGTTTGGACTCAAAGCGAATTCGCTTGACCGGGGCTCAAGCAATTCGCAATCCCACTGGCGGAGGTCAAGTCGTATACGTTATCCTGGGCACTACCAAAGGCGGCCACCCCTCGAGCTCCACGTCCAACCCATTCTTCCATGCCGAATAGTATATGGCATCTTCACCGCAGCTGCAGCTGGCAATCACAATTGTAACTAACCCAGAGGTGGTACACCCCAGCTGCTGAGATCAGCGTTTGATCAAGAGCGATCGTCTCTCATCATAGCCCGCCGTGATCTCTCGGACGAACACGCCTACAAGCGCGGCTTCATCGGGCACGTTGAAACGATGGTGGTCTTGGCTACTGACGCTGTCAAATCAGGCACAGAGGAGCGTCTCACTCCAGCCACGGCAACCGATTATCGTCTGACTTGCTCCACAGCGCTGGCCACGGGCGACGAGGTTCTTGGGAAGTTATTAGGGAGTGGGTACACTTGGACATGAATACGAGGGAGCGTGTAGTAATCGGGGAGACACCATAAAGGGCCGTCGTAAGGCAACGTGAACCTCGCTCGCTAAGATAACGTCTGTAGGATGTAAGTGCCTTCCTCAACGACATCCGAGTCTTTGACGCCACTTTCCACCGCTGACACATCTTCAGTTGAAGCCGTATTGGTCAAACAAGAGTAAGGCGATAGAGTGACGCAGGGACTTGATACCACTAATGCGACAAGACGGCCGCCAACACTGCCTTCTGCTAAGCAAGGCAAGATGAGGCAAGACAGGTGTATGAGAGGCCTTAGCAAGACTGAGAGCGCAAGTAAGACAAAAATGAGGATTGGTCTTGGTCTTACCTTGGCTTGTGGGCGAGTCTGGACTGAAGGGAGCACAAGCAAGACTGACTCTGAACCAGGTGGAAACGAGATCTGCATTCAGTCCCTTCAATCGAAATGTAGAATAACTTACTGAGTGAAGGCTGGGGAGTCAACTTTAGAATGCGGAGACTGCTATGGCAAAGTAAATGTAATCCACAAGGGAAACCCTCATTATTCCACAAGAGCTAAGAAATTCAACAGCTATCATTCCGGGTTCTGCACATTTTGTATCTCTACAGGTCTTTCCTTGTTGCGAGCTTACACGGTCCCAAGGGGCTGCTGGAGGACATGGTAATAGGTAATGAGGTCCTGCGCAGATAGAATCTGCTGCACCAAGCCCGAACAAGGGTCCAGGAGCATGATATCGGTGCCGTTATAAGCCACGTGGGAGCCTCTCTCAAGTTTCCTGATGAGAAACAGCGGTTAGTCATGTCAATAATAGAAGAAAGAGCCAAAGCTGTCGTTCAAACGTACGCTGTGCTCGACCCGGCAAAGGTAGCGTTTAACTTCCAACGAAGCGCAATCACATTGCCGACCCCGAAATGGAACTCGTCGGTGAATGCGTAAGTCTCGAAGTCTGCCCTAGCAAGCTTTATGAATTCCAGAAACGCGGACGCATTGCCTATACGGAGTGGAGCGGAGCCGTTTCCTGTTGGGAAGCGGTCTTGGTAGACTTCAATGCTGGGCATCACGGTGCTGCTCAGGAAGCTGTAGTTGCCGGCCCAGAGGGCGTACCAGTTTGTGACGACTTGTTCGTGGGAAAGAGGCGTAAGCTTGGTCCAGGGGCATGGGACTCCGGCCGCATTCCCGGCATTGCTGTTGCTGGCGCTCGTGAGGTCAAAGTCAATACTGTCTGCTCCTGAGAAGAGGCTGTAGGAATTCGCTGCTATAGTCCCGGGTACAGCGAGCAGCGAGAGGAGAGCACTTTTTGTGGAAAGACGCATTCTGGCGGTTGGATTCGTCAAAGTGTAGAATGGGAGACCGCTTCCGTAACTGGGAATTTGAAAGACAAACATCGAGCGTTGTTATAAATATCATGCTGCGGTGGAAGAAGATCGCGCCGACTGTAACAACACTCGCCCAAGTCTCTTATGGCCGTAACGTTACACGACGATGTTGCGAAACGCGTACAACGTCCGGGGCAACTAATTCTATTCTCTCGCTATCCGATCTCAATCGTTGAGAGAATGTGGAGACCCCACTCCGCGAGCAGTGTCTTTGCGATTCGAGCTGATTGGTGCCTGCCAGAGGCTTGGAATCCTGAAGGATGGCGTTTTCAAGTGAGCTGATCGCACATGTAGGAATCGCATTAGAATTATCCCGACTCTTCTCAACGGCCGTATGCTCACTTGTTGTGAGCTGTCGTTGGACCCCTATAGTCCTAAGCCTCAGAATGCACCGCCTGCCACGCGGTCCTCTGCAGGTATCAACGCGGCCGTAACTCTTTGATGAAATGGAAGCCTTTATTTATAGTGCCGAAGTCAGGATCTTAATCTCATCATGTTCTGTTCCCAAGACCGTTCCGTCAGTTGTCCAAACTTGGTCCACTTCGAAACCGCTCGATCTTGCTGTCTCTGCAATCTGTATACCAGACTGCCACGATGGTCAATTCCAATCAAAGTCCAGCGAACAGCTTTGTTGTTGCGATGCGCAAAGTTTATAATCCAATAGGATTTTCGAAGGGATACAACTTCGTCTTATGTGAGTCTTCGTCAGCTTACATCCTTTGTAATCGCCAAATTGACGCTTTAAAGGGTTCCTAACAATCGGCTATATCATGGGATTTACCCTAGCTCGCCTCCAATACTTCTCCTTCTACGGGATATTCTGCAACCCGAGAGTACATGGCGCTAGCGGCGCTTCTCCAGGAGAATGCTACTTCTACCTCCAAAACCCGTTCAAGATTGGCATGATGCTGCACCTCTTCTGTATCCTACCTGCTGGGGTTCTGGTGTGCTTCCAGTTTGTACCAGCGATCAGACACAAGGTCATCCTATTCCACCGGATCAATGGATACCTGGTTATTCTGCTGTCATTAACCGCAAATGCTGGTGTTCTCGTTGTCGCGCAGCATGCTTTTGGCGGCGACATCGCAACGAGGATCCTCACTGGCGTCCTGGTTATCTCAACGACGGTGGCATACGTCTTTGCCTGGTTTAATATCAAGAGATTGCAGATTGACCAACATCGTGCTTGGATGATGAGGGCATGGGCATACGTATGTCAAGCCGACCAAAAACCCACGCTGCAAAAAGTACTAACCTAAGAAATAGTTCTCTTCCATCATCACCCTCCGCATCATCATGTTCTTGGCGGCATTGATAATTAGCTCAATAGGTGGCTTCTACACCAGCCGACCCTGTGCACAGATAGCCTCCATCGTTGGCCAAGACATGACAATCAACCTTTACCCCGGATGTCTGCCTTTCTTCCAAGGCAAAGATAACGCCCTTGAAGTCCTTGTAAAGGCTGGCTTTCCTAACGGCAACCCAGTAGAGATAGGAGCTGGGCTTGGCATCACCTTCGGCTCTGCTGGATGGCTGGCTTTCTGGATCCACACTGTCGCGATCGAGTTCTACCTTCGTCTTACGCCCGCGGAGGGTCAGCGTCTCAGACAAGTCTCCTACGAACGTCAGTTGGAGCGTGGCTTCAGACATCCTGGGTCTGCGGGTCTTGTGGCTCAGCGATTAGGGGATGCTAATGCGTACGTACCACCTTCACGGGGAACGGATGCGTTGAGTGCAGGGGAAGGATATATGCTGTCGGTTCCTGGAAAGAAGATAAGCGTTGAGGGTATGTATTGAGCAAGATTGAGTGGCGTGCACTCAACAGGGCCAAGATTATAAGAGCACAGGGGCAAGATCCAGACAGGAGGAGCTACTGCTCATGGACTAACCGCAGGGTGGAAGCGAAGAATCGCAAAGGGGATCGGAAAAGAGAACGACACCCTTCTGATTTGTGTGACTAGCCTTTAGGAAGAGGAGCACCTGTTTATCCAATACAGCAATCCCTTCGTAGTTACACGCATCGCCTTACCAAGCTGCACAAAGGCACTCTGTGTAGCCAATAACATCCCCCTTTCACGGTATAGTTACAAAGCCATACTGGCGAAAACTTGCCGCTTACTTGAAAAGTCAATCTACCCAGAGAAAGTAGAACGAGATGGCAGGTACGGTAGAGTAATGCGTGGAGATAGGCATCTACGGTGTAGAGCTGCCACCGCCTGGAGCGTGTATTTGGTGTGGGATAACCTAAGACACGAGTGATAGACGTACAAACGTGGTATCTAAGTCACCTACTCGCGATGCTAACTTGTGGCGTCTCGTAAGAGAGTGTTCAGGTCATATCCATGGTATAACGGTGCAGTATGAATGTTCTAGAGTCAAGTTTCGCACTTCGTAGAGCTGTTGCGCGTTTGCATGTGCTTGCTGAGAAAGTTCTGGTAGCGTCCTCAATGGTCAATAAACCAAACGTTGACCTGTGCCATGCTGATGCCAGTAGCCTGCGTTTTGTGTCAGCATCATATAGCGCCCGCAAGCAACAAAGTTTTGGTTACAATCGAAGAAGAAACAGTCTGCACTTCACTTGGGTAAGGGTTCATGATGTTCAAGGCAAAGTCAACGAAGGCATGAGGGTTATTGTGGCGCATGACATATCTTTTCGAACCATGCCTCCTTGATTTCGGTCGATTGCGTAGGAAATATGGGGCGCTTTGGTGCCTTTCCGTGATGGATATCGGACCTGTTGGTCAAGTGGTACGGCGCGTGTAAACCTTCGCATGTTCTGTGCACAACGCATGTCGCTACGGGTCAATGTGTTTTACGATGATCCAGCGCTAGATACGGTGCAACACGGAAGATCGTCCGTCGCGCGAGCGCAGCTGAGCGACACTGTGCGTACACCTTCAAGGAAGTATGCTAAAGGTGCATCGACTGAGAAGCAATGCTGATCATGCCACTCACAGACTTTCATGAGTGCATACGTATCTCACAGCTGCAACATCATCGTTCTGGAGACCCTTGACTATTGAACCGGTCCGTCGTTTCTCTGATCGCTAGCATGTACAAAAGCAGGTAAAGGTGTTGACAGGTCGTAGTTCTGGTACCCTTCATTGGACATCAAGGCTCGGTAGGTAATGGTTCTCGGGTGCTATGAAGCATGGTATCACAGCCGGTGAACATCAATCTGTAGGATGCACAATGTGCATAAAGGTGCCATCCTCGCGTCACTGAACGTCACGCGTAGTGCATGCAGCTCATATCATAACACTGGCCAAGACTTCCTAAGCGCAAGACCCGAACTCGTGCCCAGGAGTGCTTAATGGACTGTTTGGTTGGATGCGGAAACTTTCCACTGTATCATGCACAACTGATATGATCTCTTCACTCATTGCTTGATTCTATGTGCCATCGCCTGGCGCGGGGTCCAACTAATTTTCAACCGTCTAGACTCCAAACCAACGCTCAATCAGATGGCCGCGGAAGATGGCATAGAAGGCACACTCCGGGAAGACATGGATTACAAGCTGTTGACCATCCTATTCGTCTTCAACATGCCGATGTAGGGATGACGCTGTCAAGCGTGCCCATTGCTCCTTTGTGCAGCTGCATTTATGGGCGTATGGGAAGGAATCTCACCAGTCCCTGCCGAGCGTATACTGCAATGCAAGGTTCTGCCACCTCTTTCCGGATGCGACAGCCACCGCGGGAACGGGTCCAATTTGTCCGCGGAGAGTATTTGCAAGCCGCCCATAGTCTGGCGTAGTTGGCATTCATTGAAGCCAAATTGGCCGGTCAGTTTTCATCCAAGGCGCAGGTGATGTAGAAGGACCTGATCCGCTATTTCCTTTGCTTCGATGAGCTTGAAGTGATGCTTGCAAGTCTCAGCGTAGCATCAGAGAGCTGGATGACACAGCGGGGTACAGTATTTGCCGAAGAAGCAACAATGCATGTGCTAACCTCTTCGAAGTCCTCTCAACTGCATCGTCGCATGTTGTAATGAGGGAGAGACATATGCGAAGATGGTATGCGATTCCTGCAATCGCTGCAAGCGACACAACTTCGATGGAGAAGCAGAAAGGACAGCATCTGTAACTCTTCTGCATTCAGAATTGTGCTTTCTACCGCAATTTCCTGGCGACATCTGGCTAGCACAGTCCGTACCAGGCTCCCGTCGCAATCGCTGGATCCTTCACTCTCGCTCAAAGCAAGTCCAAGCCTTCTGCAGAGGAGATTTTCTTCATCACTGCACGCTTATAGCGCATCATGACCAGAAGAGCCATTTCTTGCTCGGTCACGGCTGTCATGTACAAGGCGTCTGTAGGAAAGCGACTGGTTAACTCACTAGCTGTGCGGTCTCCGTATCCGAGCGTTTTGAGAGACTGAGACTCCGCGTGCCCGGAGGACCTTTTGATGGCCAGTTTCAGCGACCCTTTGGTCTTCCCAATCGGCGCAGCAAAAGGGTCACAATCACCCCCTAGTGTAGCTCTTCTGGCGACAGCAGGTGACGATAAGTCAGAAGTGGACCCAATGAGGTCTGAGCGCACCGACTGCGGATCGGAGGTATCCTCTCGAAGAATGCTGCTCTTAGCTTGGACTCTGCGCGTCGGTCGTATTGGCCCTTTGATGTCTGGTAGGAGAGGTATACTGATGATCCTATCTTCATCACCAAAACCATATGACCCTGTAACGTTGTCTTGCTCAAGCAACAGGGTCGTCCGTAGATCTCCTGGAAGTGATGAGCGTGAGGACACCTTCGGTCTTTGCAGCTGTGAGGGGCCCAGCTCAGACGCGTACTGTCCGATGCTGCTAGGTAGCGCAGAGAGGTCCGCAGCATCACCAGCCATTGCACCATTGGGGGTATCATTTCGTGCTCCTAGCATCTGGCCCGCGAGTACTGATCGCTCTCCTGAACACGAGCGTAGATTGTACGGAACATGATCCTGCACGGCTTGATTGTGGACGGCTTCGCCAGAAGCTCCACAGCACTGTCTGCTCCTAGGCGTTGAGGCCCCGCCAGTCACTCTCGATGGATGCTTCTCCTTGGCTGGGGCGTTACAAGTGCTCGCGTCGCAGTCATGACATCCGTCTCGCATACCTGTCGTTGGTCGTGTAGTGTCGTTCTGTGCAAGATGGGGAAGGTCTGATTCAGCGACACAGGCTGTAGGCGATCCGCGACTTCCAGTCGACAGAATTTCTGTGCTACCATGGCCTTCCAAGAGAGCCTTTGCTGATAATCGCCTCTTTTGGACGTCCTTCTCTTCCCTGGAGACGAACCCAGACGTATCGCCCACCACTGACGGTAAACCCATTCGCGTCAGAGGTGACAGAATTGGGTTGCTCGGGTCATTTGGCCGTGGGAAGAGGCCCAACAGATCCGTAATCGTAAGTCTGTTCAAGTCTTTGTTGATATACTGCTTCCTTAGCACCTCGGAATGCTTCATGGGCGTATTTCGAGATATTTTGTGCATCGTTAGAATTGGAATGGTAAGATTCGTCGATGATGACAGCTGTTTCACTTGCTGACTTGACGCATGAGGCCTGCTTAATTCGATCACCTGATCCGATCCGATGCCTGGATCCTTGGATCCATCGAATCCTTCGATCCAAACAATCCTTCAATGTAACCTGATCCTTCGGTCCTTCTGATCCTGACCTGCTGCGGCGTGTATCCATGAAACGATACGGTCAGCTTCCAAGTTTGCCAGGCGCAGGTTGTTCTTCACGACCTCTTTCACCTAGCTTACTACCCTGCTGTCGTGGACAGGCTCGGCCATCCAAGAATAGATAATTCTCCCGTTGGTATCTCTCGTCCGAAATGCTACGATAGAAAAGTCAATGGGTTGCCTGGAGATAGGTATGGTCCTTCCATGGCGCTCGACAACTCAGCGCGTTGTGTATGTGTAGGTTTCGGACCCTGCGCGCGTGAAGCTGCAGGGTACAATCTGAGAGCTTTCAACAGCTCCACGAGCTACTACGCACATATATCCACGAGGTGATGTAACGGCGTACAAGCGCTTAGAGATCTGCTTGAGCTTGAAAGAGATGGACTGATCCTCGCCAAGATCTACAACGTAAACCCCTCATTCTATGCTGTCCTCCACGTTCCTGCATGACGATATGACTTCGACTCATGCACGACGGCATGCCGACTGCAGGAATCCGCTACGCCTCTTCTTCCTCTAGGGAACGTCATCAGAGCTAAGGCGGCAAAGCAAGCTAAGCTATATGCACCTAGGATTCTGGTAGCCCACAACCATGCCCGGCATGGTGTCTGTGAGCACTGCTAGCCTGTACGCGCGTCTCCGTCTACCGACAGTATGAGTTTTGGAAGGTTGTAGAGAGGATATACAAGGACAGGTAGAATCAAGAAAGTCAATACCTTTTGCTACGGCCTGCGCTCAGTAGACACAAGACGTACATAAGCGTCGATCAGACAGATATTGTGTCAATCCGCATTTGAGCGGGCCGCGTGTCCTAATCGGGTGATTCGAAAGCTGAAGTCAATGGCTTCCGAGGCTGCTGAGAATAGCTCCTCCTTCTCCGGGCCAACCATTTCATGCATGACAGGATACTCCGTGAAGTCGCATCTTTGACGACCCTGAGTGTACGCCCCTCATCAGAATCGCCATCGTGCGTCGACCATCAAACTAGACGCGGCGAATTGTTATCAGCGTTCTTGAAGGTGACGGTTTCGCCAGCTCGACGTCACGCCCCAAGGCTTGACTTGTAAAAAGTGTCGCGAGCCCAACTTAGGCTCTAAACCCTTGACTTGATAAGTTTTACTCCCCCAATGTTGGTGAGTGAATCGCTTTGGTGACTTCGCTAGCCCATGTTTCGATGCCTGTGCCACGCACGAGAGCCGAGGGGCGTTTTGATAAAGCCAGGAACGCAGGCAACGTGCCTCGGGTACTGTTGTGGGACAAGGTCCTGACAGCCACGCCTTTCTATTACCTGCTTATCTATTGGTTGGGATTATGAAGTAGCAGGCGTAACGGAACTTACGACCTATTTGTCATTTGTTTCTCCAACCTGGACAGTATCATTCTTAAGATGGACTAGCAATCCTTTCGCTTGCAATCACGCGGGAGCTCGGAGCGTCAGCATAGCTTGCCCTCCTTTTCTTATCTCTTATGCCTTCAGTTTCGCAGCAGGAAGGGCTCGCAAGAGAACGCATTGAGCGTGTAAATGTACATGGGCCTGATACACGCTAGTCACAATGCTGGAAATTCCTAGTAAGCCTACGTACATGATTGAAGAGGCGTGCTCTCCAGACGTACGGACTCGTCTAGCGGAGCTGAAGATCAAAGAGAGGCTTCAGAAACGGAGAGAGCGAGCGACCGAAGAGCTTAGCAAGACCCTGGAGATGGACGGGACTTTCCTGCGACCTATAACCTTTACTACACCGATAATGTCCCAAAGCCTCATCGTCCCATTCGCCTCTTGATAAGCAGTATGCAAGTCTATCTCCTCAGTCGAAACGTTGCATGTTGCCTACGAGTCGCTCCCAATCCCACCCAAGGAAAGCCCGAGCCACACGGAAAGCATCTAAACAGTTCGAGCACTTAGTCCAACACCCTTCGGCGGGCAGTCGATTGGATTATCAAAAGGGAGCGCAGAAAGGGCAAGCGTTTTTACGGGGGTGAGGTGGGAAGACTCATGGGAGCCAGCGGAGAGCTTGAGCACGAAACTCCTGATCACTCGGCGTAAGGCCATCGCTATAAAAAAAGGAGATTCGCTCTCATGCGACGATCGTATTAGCGACACTCACTGTGCTCGTCGTTTGGTGAGTGTAGCGAGCCACGCTCACTTGCCTCACTCCGCACGTGACCTGAGGTGAGCACTAGAGGTTTCTGCTCCCTGCACGTGACCCTGGTCTGAGCCTCTCCGCAGAGGGCCATGACATAAAGGTTTAGGTAAAAGACTACGAGCTATTAAAAGAGACAGCTCGAGGGTAAGCCAGCGCCGTTCTCCAGCTACTGCAGGCAACTACTAGCCGAGGTAGCAGACCTCTTCCGGTTGGCGAACAGGCATTATGTCTGAATGAGTCCTAGTTGCTAGTCAGCCGTTCCGCGTGGAGGTACGGGCTCAGATTCAGTCCGTTTTCTCTTCAGCTGCCATTCTGTCCAATCTCTGCTCCAACCGTGTCCTCATGGAATCAAAGGGTAGACCGCAGGCAGACTCAGGCCCGCATGTGGTTGCGATATACGACGGCCTTGAGGTAATCCCCGACTTCAGACTGCGAGGCCCTCTAGCTCGCAATTCATCTCTCAATAGACCCGAGCACTACCTCCCGCCGCCAATCTCAAGGAGTGAGGAGAAGATCGTATCCGACGATCAACGCCCTTACGGTTATCTTCAGGACGCACAGGCACCAGAGGTTTTAGAGCCTGCGACACACGAAGTGAAAGTAGAGGAAGATGTGGTTGGCCGGGTGAACAACAGAGCACGAAAATGCGGACTGAACAGAAGTTCTTTCATTTGGCTCGTCGTAGCCACTGTGGCGATTATCATGATCGCTGCAATTCTGGGTGGGGTGCTGGGCAGCGTTTTCCGCAGGAAAAATATGCAGCAGTAAGCCTTTCAAATCGTCTTTGAAGCCGTGATTTTGCAAGAAGGACTTACGGTCACATAGAGCAACGCTGTCCAATATTTCGACTTCTGGGCCAACCTTCCTACAGACTCAAGCGATGGATCAAACGGGCCTTGCGCTCTTAAGTCCGGCGGGAGGCTCTACCTTATACTCCTACTATGTAGACATCGATGGCGCTGTTTTGGAGAACCAGTGGGAAAATGAGTTGTGGTTAACCTCGGGTCATAACATTTCCAACACACACGTGGTCACGAACGACGTGGCAAGTAATTCTCCCTTAACGGCAATATCGTATACGATGAACTCCACGACAGTCGTAAGTCGCAATTCCGGTTTGGGATAACCTTGCTTAACGGGTTTTTTAGCGTCAGCTCTTCTTCTTCGACGGCATTGGTTTGGTGACAACCGTGAATACTACTAGTGGCAGTAATTGGTCGGAACCATACCATGTGCTGCCGAACGCGACCTCCCTGCCCAATACATTGGCGCTTGCTGCGATCGCAGATACACAAGATATTGGGCTGAATGGTATTCGTCTGTACTACGGTAAGAGAGGTACACATTTCGATGTCTTCGCCGCTGATCTCTCAGGCTCCACGAGCGGCGTCATTCAAGAATTGGGCGTTGACTTTCTGGAGCAAACGGGGCTACCATTCTGGCATACCATGACCCTATTCCCCCAAAGCGATCCAAGCACTGGCGTTGCTTGCGTGCTGGTTAATACTACGAATCATGTCTACATGCGGAACTTGTCAACAAGCGTACTGCAGCAATGGCAACGGGACTATACGAATCCGGACATGGCTTCTTGGCAGTCGAGTATGCGATAGTCTACCTTGAAATGAGGCCGCCCTAACGCGTAACAGGAGCTACAACACCACCAAACGAGGGCATTGTCAAAGGAGCCGATATCGCAGCGACAACCGATAGTGTCAGCACGGACTATATTTTCTACCAGAACATCAACAACCAGACCGTACGTGCTTTATACTATGGTGAGAATATTACCGACTTCGTATCAGACCTGGATTTGCTAAACGTGGCTTCTCTGGGCTACAAACTATCGGCAACGTGGTCCTTAGGCTCGAGTCTAGGCGCTGTAGCGCTGACTCAGAATAGCACTAACCCGACCGAACTGCTGTACGCTCTTATAACTCGCAACGGGCAAGCAGAAGGTGGTACATCTTACACTGGTCCTTAATAGATCTCTTTGATAGAGAACCGTGTCTTGTTGTAACCCGACGGTTTTGGAGGTCTTTCGAATGGATTTTGGAGTTATAAAGTCCTGGATTATTGCAGCTCGATTTTTAGTGAGTAAGAATACCGCGGTACCGACTGTTCACAAATTCAACCCTTCCGACTGATTACCCTCTCTGGCCACGACACGAGCGCACTACATGTGTTACATACACGATGAGGAGGCTCCTCAATTGATACTGTAAAGAGATAGAGATCGCCTGCAATTAACGCGGCTAGGATGCCCTGTAGTCCTACGCTCTTAGAGCCATCCCAGGAGACTCTTAGCCTGACAGGGGAAGGACTTGGGGCTCGAAAGAAAGTACCTAGGTTAAGTGACCACGAAGCGTGGAGAGTCTAGTGAAACAATCTCAATTGAAGCTTCCTGTGGCTTGTAGTCTACCTTGTCTACTATGTAGTACGAAGACCGGCCAAACCCTCCTTGAGTTTAACATAAACTTGATGTGTCAAGGTCTCGGACCTTAAGTGTTACAGTTCCGCTTGCTTAACAAAGAAAATGAGAACCAGGAACAAGTCTGGGAAGGCTCGAAGGTGGTGATCCTGTGAGAAGATACTCTGCACGTGCTGTAAAGCTACTATCCCGGGCGCTCCCGAGGCCGAAGCTGTGAAGTCGACAGCAGCTTCACCTGCCGTTGCACACATACATCGACTGCTATACAGTCAAGTAACCGTATAGACTGACATTACCTCGCTTAACAAGCGCGCTATTTGGGGGCCCGACTCTCACATGTAAGCGCCAACAGTTTGCGACAGACATAACCCGATTTATGGTTGTCGCGACGCCACACGAGCTTGCAATATTGGACAACTAGACGCGATGATGCACCTCCATGGAAGAATGCAGGTATCTATGCGCCGAGCAGTCATTCATATTGAAGCAAGTAGAACACTACCTTCCCTTATCAAATACAACCCGGCCACAAAGTCGAAGGTGTCTATCGAGCCCACACCCTTCGTCCATTGTCTTGATCACAAGCACCAATGAACACCACCAAACCCTGGACCAGTAAGCCAAGTCCACCGTACTCACATTCATCTTCCACTAAGATTGACAAACGTTTACCCACACCCTATGCAAGCAATTTCGTGACAGGCACAACCAAACCACCAGATTGGGACAAGGAGAAGAACCTCTTCTGCGGCCTACCTCATGCTCAAGACACCCTCTGCAGAACCTTATGTTATGTTGTGCCGGTCTTGTGCAGGTAAAATATCGCTGTTGGCAGTACTGCGAAGCACGTAACGAAGCCGACTTCCTGAGTTGCACTTAGGCGCATATCGATAGCAACGGGATGATGCAGGCTGCTATGTGTAATGATTACATGGCCACTTCTGGTGCTACGAGGATGATGGATGAAGGAGGGTGGTTGGGAACAGTGCTAACCGTGGTGGTTTTGCAGAACATACTGCTGTGATGATGGTGCCTCCTGCTTCCACGTACATCTACTAGGCTATTGGTAAGACACGCCTGACCGCGACCAAGTCCATGTTCCTCTGAGTATATGTCAACTGTGCAACGGACTCAATCCCTTGCATTGGATGAGCCATGGCCCAATCGAAGTGTCGGAACAGCTGCGCACGATCAGCAAGAACCCTATCACGGTCGTATACGGGAGACTTACCTCGACAAAGGCCTTGTGAAGCTCCATCATGGCGATATGCTTACCAAGACAGACGAATCTGCCAGCACCGAAGACAATGTCAACGACTCGCATGTATTTGATGTAGGTATCATGATCCGCTTCCATCCAGCGCTCTGGTCGATAGATGTCAGCGTCTGAACCGAAGATATCTCTCTTTCGCATCATCCTTTCGTCGCACATGCCCAGATCGCATCCTCCTGGGTAATAGATACCCTTGATCGTCTCGCCACCAGGCGGTGCTCGCTTCGTCTTGAGTCCGAAGACAGGTGGGTACATTCTAATACCTTCCCAGATGCAGGCAGTCAGGTAAGGCAACTTCTTCGCCTCGGGATACTTCACAATAGGTGTCGATATGGCACCAGCTTCGACAGCATCGTCTATCTCTTTGCGCAAAGCAATATATGCGCTTGGTGTCCCAACCAGTGTGTACAGTATCGACCGAAGGATAGTGGTCGTCGAGTCCGCCCCAGCGATGATTTGCAGATATGCCTCAGCTTCCATCTGCACTTGACTCAGGCCCTTTACCTTGAAGTAGTTTAGCATATCCTCGCGCTTATCGTGGGGGTTTTCAAAGCGTTCAGCGACAGCTTTGCGAGCGAAAGCCAGCACGGGACCAGTGCCCTTCTTGTCCGTAACCTTAGGCGCTCCCAAAGCTTGCATGCCTGGAGATGCTAGAATGCGATAGATCAAGTGGTGGTTGGCCATTAACTCTATCACACTCATGAACCCTGCACTCGCTTCGTCGTACTTCCACAAGTCCTCGTTGGCTTCCATGAACCCGAATTTGCGGCCGAAAGCAACTGTGCTGAGAACATCGAGGGTGAAGAATCTAGCCGTCACGGAGAAGTCCATACTTTTGCCGTGGTAGCTGTCGACGAGGTCGATGAGCTCTTTCACTCGCTCATCGATATCGGTTTCGAGCCCTGGTGCGTCGCGGCCATTGTACTGTCAGCAGTCAGCTACTGGACAATTGGACTTGTCGTAAGGGACCTACACCACCAGCTTCCATCGACTTGAGCTTTGCGTGCACCTTCTCATCCCTCGTTGAGAATACGGTGTCCATTCTGGGATCCATCTTCATAGCCTCATACCAGTAAGATCGACACCACTTAGAACCTGGGGCATTGATATGTCTTACAACATCCGGATCATCAGTGACCAGGAGATTCGGTCCAATGCGAGCTGGTGATCCTGTGGGAGCTATGTTAGTTGACTTATTAATCAATGGAAGATGGGTATAACCTCCCATATTTCCTGAGCGCAGATTTTTCAGCTTCGTAAACGTTCTTTCTCCAGCTCTGCCAGAGGAGCCAGGAGCCAGAAAAACTAGCGAGTAGTGGTCCCTTGAATTGATGTAGTCTGCGGATGTTTGCGGTAGTGCTGAGAACAAAATAGAGTAACAGTAGACCGAGACATGCAGAGAACAGGTCTGGTGAGTTGAGGATGGCATCGAAGTGTGGAAGAACCATGGTGGCTTTGATGCTGTGAGATTCTGTGAAGGTTGTATGATGGCTTGGAGGTCTGAACAGTAGTCTTTCCTGTATACGTGGGAGTGAAAGCTAGGGAGGTAGCTAGATACATATCGAATCATGGTGACATGGGCCGTACTCGCATGCGTGTCACGATATCATAATCCGAATGAGCCCTCTAGACAGTGTATGACGTGTAATGTGTTGGTCCCCTACCTCTCGATTCGATAGCAATGCTTTCCGCCCGGATGCAGATGCAGACGGCCAGGATGGTGCATTATGGTGCCGGGCGCATTGAGACATTCGACAGCGTTTCGGCAACATGTCGCAGGTATTGGCTACTTGGACCAATGCATTTAGTACTGTTCGGCTGTTTACTCCTCTCGACTGGAGTTCTGGCCAAGCACTCCGCGCACGTTTGATCCGGTCCATCAAGCTCGATTTCGTGAGCGGGATTTGATAAGGTCGATGTCACCCGACGATCGACCAAAATACGGTCGTTCCTACGTCGGTCAGAATATCGAGCTAGTCTGTATTAGGTTCTAGATGGATGCGTCTGCCCTCCAGCAACTATTTTCGCGGGGATCCATGCGCGAAGTGGATGCAGTTGATAGAGGCAACCTTAGGTAGGTCAAACTGTCTGGACACTCCAGCACGCTTGATACATGCTCTTGCCATAGCGAGCCGAAGCATTCTTACCTTTTCACGGATCCTCTTCACTACATATCTCATGCTAAGTAAGCAATTTGCCCCGCATGTCAGATTCGAAACGTAAATCGCGAGATGGCCAGCTGTCAAGGTTCCGAGTAACCATGCGGTTTCGAAAAATTCGTCCTCCCGGTGTCTTAGTTATCGATGGTCGATGGCTGGGGAAGATGCTGCTATTGTTGTCCATGTTCTTGTGGGCAATCTTGCAGCAGGACGCAGCGTAGGCGGCACGACTATCGTGTTTGGTTCGTGGTCTGCTTGCTGGTAGCTGAACTGTCTTCTAGAAAGCGTTACCGTGTCTGGTCGAAGAGCATATACGTCACATAGGCGGATAAGCTTCCAGCACGACCTAAGCGATAAGTAGGGACCTTGAGGACTTTGAGGAGAGACATCAGCAAGCTCGGATCTAGGGCCCTCTATGTCCCCAAGATGAAGAGGTTCCATCTAGTAGTTGTTGAGCTGCACCTTGGTGAAGTTGTTATTGTTATGCGAGGAATTCGTGAATCACGTGCAACTGTACATTTGCGTATGATCTCTAGACGATCTGCTAATATACTGCATGTCTCTGAAGCAACAGGATGGCGCTCCAGCGAAAAGGCAAAGCTCTTTCCTAGCCTGTGTATTGGTCGTCCCTTCTCAAGATCTCTAATTAACGATACCGCCCTGTGTACTCTAGATTATGTCTACTCAGCGCACTTATTGTTTCGACTCTTCACCCTGACCATGAAGTTAACTGGTTTGACGAACCAGGCGTTGCGAGTCTCCCACTGCTTTCCAGATTTGACGAGTCCGAAATCGAAATCTCTAATTAATTGTGGAATCAGCTTCGAAATCTCAAGCATAGAAATGTGTCTGCCGAGACAAGTCCTTGCACCGAATCCAAACTATTGAGAGCTTAGCATTCAAAGCTAGGTTTTGTTGCAACGACAGACTTACCGGCATCCAATAAGCTTCCATAGCCCGCAATCCTTCTTTGTCCCGGTTTATCCATCTTTCAGGCTTGAACTCGTTCGCATCGTGGCCAAAGATATTTTGATTGTAATGAGCAGACCATGCATTTATGCCAACAACGCTACCAGGACGAATGAACCACCCCGAACACTCTAATCCTCCCTCGGGCACATCTCTCCAAAGCGGCAAGCCAGTAGCGCTATGCATCCGGAGAGCTTCTTTAATCACTGCTTGGAGGTATGGCATCTCTTGGCTTTCTTTGAACGTTACGAACGGCTTTCCACAGCGACCGTTACACTCGTGCTCGAAAATTTCCTCTTGAAGCTTTCGCAACGCTTCAACGTTTCCAAGCAGGTGATAAAGAATGGCGGAAAGAGTAATGCTCGTGGTGTCGGATCCAGCCACTACGTTGTTCTGGCAGACTGCCATAATGTCAAAGGGCGTAACTCTCCCCGGGTCTTCGATGTGGGCTTGGAGTATCTTGTCAAGAAAATCGAGAGGTCGTTGTCGTTCTTGCATTAGCTCTTTGTGGATCCTTTCGCTCTCGTCCTTCAAAGTCTGCTTGATTCTCTGTCTCTCATCAATCGATACTTGCGTAAATTGACTGACGTGGGCGAACCCCCTGCGCTCTCTACCAGCAAGCAATTTTATCAAGCGAAATAGCATGGGGTGTAGGCGAGCGTAAATCCCGACCAGAGATCCGTACACAAGCCCGTGCTGGAGACCGGCGATCACACCGTTCACATCCTTCCCATGATCTAGAAACCCGAAACGCTTGCTATATGTGATATTGCCGATGACATCGAATGCATAGCACTGGAACCAATGGCCCATATCGATTTCTTCTTGACCCTTCGCACATTCGTCCAAACGCTTCACAAATAGCGCTGCGCATTCATCGACGAGAGTCTCGTAGTGTACCATAGAGGTCATTGAATACATCGCTTGGTACTTCCTGCGCTCTCCCGCGTGCCGCTTCTCATCCCTGTCGGCGAACAAGTGCCATGATCGTGGGGGCGCAAACGCATTGTACCAGGCCGTCTTAGTGAACTTTGTGCCTAGTCCGTATATCTTTTTGACGACGCTAGGATCGTCAATGCTATACCAGTCTGGCGCTATACGGACCACGGGTCCATACTGTTGATGAAGAGCTACGTTCTCGCGCTCGAAACTTCCTCGCCAGACTCGTATGAAGTACCAGGCTTTACTCCAGCGGGCCCAAAAAGGGCCAGGATGAGGACTCAGAGCCGAGTTCAAAAGCACGAGTAGACGAAGGGCAAAGAGGCCAAGAATGCCGAGAAGGACGGTCTGGATCAGCATAGCTTCCAGAGTTCAGGCTGCGGTGTAAGTTAAGCGAAGATGCAGCAAGGTGTTTTGAATATGCACAAGACAAGAAATTGTCTACTGCAAGTGACAATAGTACTACTCAGTCGCCGAATTGCTCAGACGTTTGAGGTTGTGACGAGCGCCTGATCAATATACATAAGTTGGAAAGCGCATTTGCTTCGGCATTCGGAGCGTACTTGTTTCCGAGCGGAACAAGTTGGGCTGCCGTCCCTTCCTGCTAATTCTCCTTTGCCCCGGGCTCCCGTTAGTTCCGGGTCTGACATCGTCTCCGATTTCCCGAACTTAGCACGCCTCCCATCACTTCAATCCCTATGGCTATGTCATAGCCGAAGATCACTGGCATGCCCTTTCGACATAGACTCAATACTGCTACGAATGACAGCATACGTCCATAGTACATGTATCCAATTGCTCAATTATAGTATAGGCGACCAAAGCTCATATGCTCCTCGGATCCGTAGTTCGAGCTTGAAGCTTTTACTCCCCCCTAACAGCGCGTACCATAGGTTTGACGAAACTCTCACACTTGCCAATCGTATATATAAGATCAATTGCGCGAAATAGCAATATCCCAACCTCCACCGCCTCGTGAACCCATGGCACATTGGGCGGTGTTCCGCGAGTGGCCTGCAGCTGAGATGTCGAAGCCGGGTAGCGCGTCTACACCAGGATCGAAAAGAAGAGGCTCATCTACGCATCCCTTTGAGAGAAGGAAGCGGCTCGAGGAGGATGGATATACATGAAGGCTTCAGTACTGCTGAAGAAAGCATGGATGCGAGGAGACTCCCTCAGGTGGCTCCATAATACTGCTGTGTTCCCCATCTCGCGCCATGCATACTAACCTACAGGCTCGGTAGCACCATTCCGACGGGACATGCTACTGTACCATGCGGTACGATGCGAGATAGCGAAAGTAAGCCACAGTAAGATGACACTGCAATGGTTATCGGATGTATGGGAGACTGTTGACAGTTTTGGTCCATTTCCACCATACGTCCAGGTCCGTGCGACCTCACGGGCCGCGCGCAGAAGCACACTTACTTAAGCTCGGATCTTCCCAAAAACCCATAGTCACCTGCCTTATCGCTTCACCATGCTGGTAAGAAAGCTCCAAAATAGAATAGGCAGCAGTACTGCCAAAGCAGACTACGACGATGTGCTGAGCTTCTCCTACTACGTATACGAGTATGCTCCAACGCGCGGCAGTCAAGACTGCCGAGGCAGGCTGTATGAATCCAAGGGGCTTTCGATCCATAAATGCTAAGCCATCACAGACTCTGTAAGGCGTGCACGGAAGAGCCAGCTGCTGCGGTCGAGCCTAGCTGTAAGTCATCCGTACCCATCGTTGCTGGAACTGATGAAAGAATTTGCCAGGGCTTCGGGAAGCGTTGATCAAAGCGGGCGGTGGTATGTCAAGGGGCGATCAGGCAACCTTCGTAATGTATGCCAGGCAAATAGGGATTTGTAATGGATTACCACTGACCCGAATCAGCACTTTCGAGGCCGAGGACGACACAGCATCGACAGAAAAGCTTGTCGCAAACTGTCTGGTACTGTAGGCGAAGGGACTCTGCTTGCGATCAATCAGGCTGAGGCTGACAGAAGTGATCGCCGTGTCAGTGACTTGCATCTGCGCACGGTGAACTTTCCGTTACAGGACTATCGACCGGATGTACATCGGTCGCTGCCCTCTTTTGAAGAAGCTACTTTGCGCCTGAGAGATGGAGCTCGTATGCAGTCCACGTTCCGTGCCGCCAAACAGATCTTTGCAGAGTACAACAAATGGGACGATTATGGCATCATACTCCCCTTCAAAGACGTGGACATGAAGCTCAACGAACGCTGGATCGAGTTGAATGGAACGTCAATGCCCTGGTGTGGCGCAATGAGACCTGTTCCAGAGAGATTCGTCGTGCCTCAGTGCGTTCGGGCGTGGGAGGGCGAGGTCCTAGCCTATACATTCACTGTTCGCAATAGGGACTCCGGCACTGTGCGGGACGTGACCTTCGAGCAAGAGGCGGTTGCGAATTTGGGCGGGCTTGGTTTGATCCGCCTCGCCAATGTGAGCGAGAACGAACGGGCAGTGGCGAAGCGGAAGTGGAAGGATTGCGAGGGCGTGCGACAGTGCTGTATCCGCAGAGTGTCTCGAAATCGCTCATTTCGGACGGAAACCTCGTGCCGATCATGTGGGAATTCCGACGCTGCCGAGAAGGGGCCAGTGACAAGTATAAGATCGTGGCGACACGCTTCCGCTTCTGCGAAAACCTGGACTGGCAGCACCGAGCGCAAGACACCAGGACCGGTCCAGAAGCGGACCAATCTCCACCGCGGTTTAGCGTTGGGCTCAACCCACCTCGCCGCAGGAGGTCATCCGTGCGACCAGGAAGCCCTCTCGTACATCCCCTCTTCAGCGGGCGAAGAGCGACGTAGGCGTGCCGAACCCGAAATATTTGATGGCGTTCCGAAAGGCGGCAGACGAGATCAGCAGCAAGGACAGCAAGGGGTAGGGCATTCGGTGCAGTCAGGAAGTGGGCTGGTGATAAGTGATATCTCAATCGGGGGCTCAAAGAGACGCATTTGTTGCGTCTACTGCATCTTACGAGCTCACGTCACGGCGGCGTCTGGGCCATTCTTGCGCGTGTCTCTGCAGATGTTTCTAATGACGCATTCGCGCATTGCACCTTCCGGGCAGGCAGCCTCCTCGTCATGGGAAATCCGGTCTTGATAAAGGCTTGGAAATGGTTTTCGGAGAGTATAACGGGCACCGAAACACTCGTAGCGTACATCGTGTAAAAATTCGTGATTGCCCATGCAGAAAATGCGCCGGCCAGGCGGCCTTGTACGAGCCCACGAGCAAATCACGTTATAGTCCCGTGGATGCTGGCAGCATGATTCCGCAGGTGATTCATGTGCTTGAATTCTTCGTTGCCACATTTTGGATGCGGACACCTCAATTGTGTTGCAGTGTGGTGCCGCAGATGCTTGCGCTCGAAGTGCCCCTTCAGACCGTCGCGGTTCCGGAACGCCTTCATCCGTTTGGCCTGGGATAGTTCCTCGTTGCCCATGCAGAAAATGCATTGCGTCGGTAAACACTTCATGGGGAACGGGTCAGTCTTCGTCGTCTGGGCTAGGGTGCAGATCGCCCTCTTCGCATCGGCGCCGGCGGGGCAGGTCTCTCGACCTCGACAAACCCTCTTCACAGATGGATCCTGTCCGTTGCACAGTGCTGTCATAGCGTCGATGGCCTCTGACCGCTGACGATGACAGTCCGCTGATTCGGACGGTGTGAAGGTGAGCAAGGCCGCTAAGACGCGCCGGCGCTCGCTGCTCAGCACTGCCTCTGCCTCGCGTTTGCATCTGCGCTCTGGCGGTCGCGTGCCCCTGCTTTTCAGCTGCCACAAGATCTCCGCCACGGGCTGCTCCTCTCGGTATCTGGTGTTGACCTGCTGCACCATCGCTTTGCGGGCATCCCGTTTCGCTCGCATGTATGCACGCTGCGCGTGCTGGTATGCTTCGTGTGCGCTTGTACCCTTCGAGCGGGCAATCGTCGTGTACTGAGCACGGGCGTGCTTAGCCCAACGGTCTCGGATTCGTCGAGCCAAGATAACCTCCGGATGTCGGATGACATTCGCCAGTTGGTCGTCGGTCATTGACCGTGGCCGCTGGGGGTCAATCGAGCGACTCATGCCGCTGGCGGCGCGTATCAGGGCTGTCTGCGGCTCCAAGCCTCTATACGCTGCCTGCGTATCTTGCGTGATGTATCGTGAGAGGTAGTTGTGCTGGAATACGGCCGATGAGGAGTGCTGCAGGATGAGGTTCCGCTGCGGATCGCTAATGTGACCTGTAGGAGATCAGCATTACCGCTCCATCTCAGATCAAGGTAGAGATTGTGTACGAACTGCTGCTGTCGAGGGCCTCGCCGTGGCCGCGGCGAAAACAGTAGGGTTTGACCGGTGCTTCGAAGCCGGTGATCTCGCCCAGGCACCTTGATCGCTCCTTGAGCCAATTCTCCGTCACTGCTTGATGCGAAACCTTCACGCCCTGCACTGTGTTTTCCGTCTTGCGGAAAAGAGGCAGCTCCGCTTTCGACGGTCGAATGGCGATGCGCAGCTCGTGCGTGCCCGGAGGAATACGCAGGCTGAATAGTTGCTTTGGCCCCAACCCCGGCGCCGCGAAAGCGTCGTCCGCGAAGGGCAGACCCAGGAGCATGGTCTGCGGGCAGAGGCAATGCCAAAGGAGAGAAAAACCAACGGCTTAGCAAGATGGGCAACCAGTGATCCGAGGCGGGTCGTATGTTACGCCCCAGTCGGACCTCATGCTCATTATGATCAGCTGCGCTTTTGACGCTTGCCAAAACTCTCCACTTTCGGATGAACGACGCGCATGTGCCGTGTCAGCGCGTCGATGCGTGAGAATGTTTTCTCCTCGCGACACATCGAACACCTGACCTTTTGCTTGCGACCGTTGTGGATCGTATCTCCATGCCGTGCAAGATCGTAAGGCCTGGTGAAGATTGAGTTGCAAGGCTTGTTGGTAGATGGATTGATCCGGGTACACTTATAAGGTCCTGCTTGTGAGTTGCGCGCCAAGATTGCTGCGGAAGTCAACCCGGCGACGAAAGGTCCGGGGGATTCGGTTGACCTCGGCGAAGTGGAAGCCTCGGCCGATGACATGGTCCCAATGTTGTCCCTGCTGTGCTCCTGCTGTGACCGGTGGTAGTCACGCTTTTGCTTCTGAAGATGTGCGTGTGAGTCGTAGCGTTGTGCGCAGCCGTGGTACGTGCAGGTGTATGTGCCGGTCGCTGCGCGGGTGTCTGAGGATCGCTGAGGCGTCGGAACCGCAGGCACGCTGTCTTGTGACGAGGGCGGAGGACCATTGTCGCTCAGGGAAGACTCCATGTTGGTCAGGTGGGCCGGGAACTCAGGGCTAGCCTCCATTTTCGGACCGGAATAGGAAGTGGCCAGGTATGAGTTGTTTTGTAGCTGCCCTTGATCTTGCGGTGGCAAAGGCGGGAACTCTATAGAGTCTGTGCCTGAGAAGCCGTCAGCTGAGATGGCGCGAAAATTCGTATTCGCCTGCTGACTTGGCATTTGTAAAGTACCAAAGGCAGAGCCTGGTTGGCCGAAGAAGTTGTTTGGCCACTGTTCTGTTCCAGCGGTGTGCTGCTTGTAACCAGCTGGTATTGTGTCTTGAAATAGCGATGGTTGCTCTTGCTCGTTGTAGTCTAGCAGCGCATCTTTAGGCGAGATCGTCTTTGTCGGCTCGTGATTCAGTTGCAGAATATGTTGTGCGAGCTCTGCTTGCTCTGCCTGTAACTCATGCCTGTGACTCATGCCTGCAGCCGTGCCCACACCGCCTGCTGCTTGAGCGGTCGTCTGCCGATTGCGCACTGGCGCTAGCGGTGAACCGTCCCTAAATGGAGATCGTTACCGTGGTACGAAAGACGCTGGAGATTGCCGTCTGTAACCGCTCAGTCATGATATTGCGATGCTGATGTGGCGAGAGGAAGGTGTTCGCAGGTTTGAGGCGGATGCTGGTGCTTGAACGGTTGTAGGTGGGTTGTACAGCTCGTACTGCATTGCTTGAGGTTCTGTTCCGAAGAATTGTACGTTGGGGTTGTATTGCGCAAAATCTGCGTCACCTAAAAGTAAGTAATCGCCTTCAAAAATCGCCTTCTCCGCAGAGACCTCATCATGCTGGAGCAGAGAGTAGTGGCCGTTCTGCACAACCTCACCAGCACCAGACTGTGGCGTGGCGGGCGAGCTGTTGCCTAGTGGGATTAGAACGCGAAAGTGCGACACATTTCATATTCTCCCCGCAAAATTTAGCGTTAGGGTTGCGGACCCTACGACGCGTTTCGACGCGCACTTCAAAACGAGTTACTAGAGGTAAGAACGCGTACTTACACCCTTCCGATATAGGTTTCGAAAGCTCGTAGATCGCTAAGATTACTCTATATCCGTAATAGCTAATATTTAGAGATTATACTTCGTATAAGTACCTAGGCTCGAAGTCTACAAATTATATAGTACCGGTATCTATCTAGATATTAAAGCTATTAAGAGGTACCTACGAGGCAAGGGTTATTATTATAAGGGTAAAGCTCTAAAAGAAGCGGTAGTAGCGCTAAGTTAACTACAACTAAGATTGCGTTAGTAGCTACTAGACGCCTATCTACCTCTTACGATATAGCCTACCTCTATAGTACTTTACCTATACGTCTAGGATAGCTAGTCCTATAAGCTCTACAAGGGTAGAGAGTTAACGACTAGTTGGGTCGTCCGAGACCGCTTGTTACGGACATTAGGTCCGCAATAGGCAGACTAACTAATTAGACTAAGGGGATTAATAGATCAGATATATAGGGCGGCTACAAAGGGGTTACGTAACGATAATTACTTGAACCCTTAGGTAAGCAGCCTGCTTGCGGTCACCCACGAGCGAGCGTAAGCAAGAGTGCTTACGATCACCTACCGGTTGATCGTAACCGCTATACGAATCTCCTATATATATAGAATAGACGTTTCTTATATAGGTAGTTCGTGTTTAACCTAAGTTACCAACCCGCTAAAAGGTTACCAAGATTTTTTTACCCGATTACTTGCTTAAGGACTTACCTAATTAACGAGCTCTAACCCTAGTATACCGCAGGTGCATAACACTACTACGCTACAAGCATATATAGACTAAAGCTAAGCGCTTATTACGAAGAACGGCTATACTAGAAAGCCTATAAGCTCCAAACCCTGTTCTCGATAACTAGAGATATACGGTACTTTTAAGTAACTATATCTAGCTTCGGGTACTGGTAAGACGACTATTCCGTTCTATAAAGACCGATCGTCGAGGTATTAGCTATTAAAGACGATAAAACTCTATAGTAGGCGAGCTATTTCCTCGAGCTTCTACGAGCCTAGCGAGCTAAACACGAGGCTATTGCTATAGCTACAGCTAACAGGAATCCGGATCCTCTTATAGACGATGCTAGGGAGGAACTATAGATAAAGAAGCTAGGAATCAGTCGATATCTAGCGAGCCTTCATAAAGACGAAATAGCCGCTTCGTATAGAAGTCCGGAGTTAGAAGAGGACGCCGCTATATCCGACCTTCGAGATGTTAGCGACAAGATCCTTTGCGAGATATAGAGTTAGTGCTAGTATAATCCCGCGCAGCGTATAATAGATCCGTAGGTAGCTCGGATAAGTAGCTTCTAGTATACTACCGATCCGGAAAGTAAGAACAATATATTCCGAAGGGCTGTAGCGCTAGATACTCTCGATATATATCTTAACTACTAGACGGAGCTGCTAACCTTTATATAGAACGGAGAGCGGGGGCGTTTATTTCCCTAAAGCCTTACGGCACTTAGTATATAGCGACGCTCTAGCTAGCGGACTAGGGCTACCCGCTCCTCTGTCTAATCTACTAGAGGTAGTAAAGTGTAAGGTGTCGTACCACATCTACAGTATCCTGCACGTGACCGCAGGGGGACCGCAGGCTGTCTGCAGTTAGCCTAGGTTACGTGATATGTTCCGGCTCCCCGCAGGGGGTCCGCAGGGTGTCCAAGACGGACACCTAACAGAACATATTAGCTCCCGCATTAAGCGAGGAGATTTCAGGATGTATAATCGTGCTGACATAATACTTCGCGGCGCGCTCAATTGTGGTGTACACTAAGCCCTTTACACATCTGCTCGTCTCGAGGAGTGTGGCGCATGTCCGCGGCCTGACCAACCTTAATGGCTTCTTCGCGTCATGAAGCGCGCGCTGGCTAAAAAGGACGAAGGATGCTCAGGATAAACTCAGCGACTTGCCTAGCCTGCCATCTCGACCTTGGGCGATAACCTAACACTTCGATTCATCGAAGGTGTGTGCTCTGCTCTCAAAGAATTGGGATCTGTCTGAGGCTGCCAATCTCAGCACGCAACCGAGATTACAAGAGATGGTCATGGAAGAGTCAGTTGAGCAAAGCCTGCATGCAGGGTCTTCCAGAAACACAGTCGCATATATCAAACGTAAAGTGGAGGACGTCCTCAGGACGAAGCAGTACGATTCACATGCGGTTCTTGAAGTCTTTAGGGCTCTTGCGGCTGCTATAGAACGCTCTTCGAAAGACGTTGACCTCTCTGGGATAATGGATCTGAAGGATCTCTGTTCTTTACTCCTTCCATTGAGCGACCTCGCTTATTGGCACGAAAGTCCTCGCAATGTCTTCAGAGAAATCTATATGGGTGAATACACCCTGCTTGGGCTCTTGTCACCTTTGGCGCTTGCTACAACCCAGAATTGCTCCTCTGCGGCTGGTGGGATACAGTACATTCATTTGACTGGCAAGCCGGGTATTGATGGAGTTCCGGAGAACGCTGTACCGGTGGCTAGGGGCGACGGTGAGGGTGTGAAGAACGAGCTCACCGTGGACCGGCTACCGAACACTATTTCCAGATTTATTCGAAAAGGATACAGGCTTGTACGTCGGTCTCAGATTATCTTCCAAGACATCGAGCTGAAGGAGAGGGAGATGATGCTTATTCTCTCCTGTACGGTGCCCGTCATTGTGCAAAATGTCAGAGGCGAAGAGAGCTCAGTGTTCATCGCTGGACAAGTCTCGAGAGCGACGATACGGTGGCTATGTGACGAGCTCAAAGTGGACTTTGATCCGAATGAGCCAGATGGCGTTTTCCAAACCGAACGCAAGCCGTAGGTGTGTAGTACAGTAATAGCACATGGCATTATATTGTGCAGTGGCATTGAGGAAGATGTTGGTACGGGCGAGTAGCATACTGGTCCTGAATCGCAGTCTGCGAACTGGAAGGGTCCCGCCTACATGAACAACTCCAAGCGACCGTGTCACTATGCTGCTTGTCATGGGGCTGTCCCGGACTATGCACCGTGCTCTGCTGACGGCTTGACCCGCGTCGACAAAGCACCAGACCTCACGTGACAGAGCACCTGTTGTGCTCTCTGCGCTCTCCATTGGAGAGCACCACACAGCAACAGAGCACACCTGGATCTCCTATTCATATAGCGATGGCTTCACGTCTAGTAGTTAGGAGCTTCGTGCTCAACCTCAAGTACAGGAGTCAGCGATAGGTTTCACCTACTGCCAACACAACACCTCACTGCCACTTGTCGCCTCAGTCCGTCCACATCCTGATCAACTTCGCGCCCCTTGGCAACACCTTACGACACTTTCGCATCCACGGGGTGTTGTCGGTAGGAAACTGCTCGTTGCTGGTCTGTGCTGCACTCGTCTGCTCCTCCCCGTCAAGACTCTTACCTTGGTCAAGCAGGCCTTCGATTGCGGAGCTCAGCTCGCTTCCCGCTATCTCACTTCCGGTTCTAGACGAGGCTGCTTCGAAATACCGTCTGCCAGGCCCCGCGAATATGGTTTGAACGACTGCCGCTCGCCACTGACGTCCTACTGGCTTGGTCCAGCCATGAGCTTCCCTGCTATGCTCGGACATCTTCCGCTCACTTACACGGTAGAATTGACAACCAGCACATTCCCAGCTTTGGTGCGATAAGAGGCCTTTGATCGGCTTCTGAACTGCATGAGGTTGTTTCATTGCGTCAGGCACCACTAAAGATAAGATGCTACAGTACGTGGCGATGTCTTTCCAGACCAGAAACAGCCAACCGCGATGATGATCTTTTAGGTGGCGTCCTATACCATCGCCAGGAGCAATTGCTTGCTGACAGTCCGCGCAGATTGTGACCCGGAATTTTCGTTGTGCAGAATACGGCTCAAAGCGGTGTTCAGCCGTGGCGGACCAGCCGGTATCATGTTCACACTTCAGAAGTGCAAATCCTTGCTGCTAGAAACAAAGGTAGGGATGTAAATATTGTAGGAGATATCGGTATGCTGTTTGGGGCATGTACAGATCCAAACGATACTAACACGAGACCATCAATATGAGACCGTCTTTCTGACCCCATGGCCCAAGCTTAGAGTACCAATTTAGTGTAAGCCTAACAATATGACACTGTCATGTTGACTGCAATAGTAGGGTAGAGACCCGCTGAAGTACTGACCGTGATGCTCCTCCACCCGCGAATAGCGCTCTCTGACAGCAATTCAGCCTCTTATGACTTCACAAAGAGTGCAGAGGCTTTTGAAAACTTGCTCATATATATCGACCTCTTTAGACGATGTTTGAAAGCCATATACGGCGCCACACAAGACCTTGTTCAAAAAGGTGCCGGGAAAGCCAACCGCTCCACTGGATGCGCAGACGGCGACACCGTGGTATCAATTGTAATGGCTAAGGCGAAATGTTCTCAAAATGCTTCACCATCGCATCGGAGTAATGCGGCAAGCGAAACCAATGTGTGCGGTGTGTATGGAATGGTTGGAGTAGAAGTATCTTGGATTTCTCTCGTGGCACGGGGCGTCTCTCCGCGTACGGAGGTACGTTACTTGTCGATTCGTGGATACTAACGCGGCTGCCACGTTTAATCCCAATATTGCTTTTGCCGGAGGTCAGCCTAGGGGCTACACAGTGTCTCTACGAGCTGAACTACCAGAAAGGCCCCCGCAACGATAAGATTGCGAAACGAGAGCATCGTCAGCAGATCTTTCACGTTCGATCGTACGGTGTGCATAGCAACCATCCGAAGCCCGTCTCCTGCACTTGGCGTATTCCTATAGATTTCTTCCAGACATGCTATCAATCCACGGGTCATCCAGAGCTGGCTTATCTTGTTCTGGAACCTCTTCAACGAAAAATCTTTCAAGTCATGCAAGAAGAACTCACTGGCCAAGAAATGCACGCGAGAATCTTTCATGAGCTCCTCATCATCTTGGAGAAGATTAGCAAAGTGTCAGACCACTGATGCTCCTGTTGTGCTGTATCTTCTACATCCAGTCGATTTGAGATCTCATTTCCATACGTGCCCAGTGTACAGAAGTTGCAACGCCCTGAAATACGATGGTTCTCTTGCCTCTGGGCAAGTCAGCGTTCTGGTGGATGCCTCGGCAAAATCACCCTCGAGAGCCTTTGCGAAGTATTTACTCTGAGTGCACAGGACAATCCGATGTAGCGGAAGGGGCGCCTCCTTCAAGTTGACTGTGGCGTCAGAATAGGATGAGTCCATGAAAAGGCTGTTGTATATTAGCGCGAAGACAGCAGCCTAATACCTGGGATGACAGACTTGGAGAGCTTAGCTGCTAACTGGCCACCAGAATCTTCGCCAGATGATATCGTCCCTTCAGCGAATCCTATTTGAAGACTCTTAGATCTCTTGCCAGACAGTGTGAAGTCTGAGAATGGCTCGAATGAAGGAGGCGAAGACTGTGGTCGAGTGATCTGAGTCACCTGCGAGGCAGCCGCCTATCGCAGTAACCTTGCTATAACGTGCTCGATTTCTCGCTGCTCAGCCAGATTTCTTGCGCGGTCCCGCCGCGATTGTGCTCGCCGTCGCTCAAGCTCCTGCTGTTCAGCTTGGTTTGCTGCACGATCTCGTCGCGATTGTGCTGTTCATCGCACACGTTCTGCTGTGCTGATCATAGGTTGCAGGTTTGAGCAGGAGGCAGGGAACGCAAGAGTTCTGCTCGCGCGATGTTGCATGTCTGGACACTGACCGAGGTGCAGCGATACATCATCACGGCCAATTTGAAATTATGAGCCTTGCTCCCGAGGCGACAGCGGATGTTCCTTCATGCCGCCACGGGAGTCCTTTTCTTGGCAGGCCACAGCCGCAACCAAGCACGGTTCTGCGTTGACCCCAACAGACTGCAAAAATGACCGAGACAACAGCACGAGAAACCCAAGCGCAAAAGGGTAAGGCGCCAGAGAGTGAAACGACCAACAGTGGAGAGCGCGCGGCGGTCCGTGCAAGGCTCGGAACGACGACGCGCTCCGAAGACGTGACGACCGCTGATGCGGGGCTCGGGCTGGAACGTCCTACGTTGTGCACATGACTTTCCCAGAATCCCGGCTCCACTTCGAATAGCTGCTCTCTACGTTGTCAAGGTGAATATACCCAGCTGTCCTCGTGTTCTATCAACCTGTAGTAGATACCACAAGATCCAAACGATGCAATCGCTACTCACGCTGCCGGTCGAGATTCTCGACCGCGTCCTTGATCACGTCGAGCTCGCTGACTGGAAAAGCTTTCGCTGCGCATCACACGAATGCGCGGAACGTGTGACGTCGCCGATCTTTCGAGAGATTGTCATTAACCTGGAGCCGCACGGTTGTGATGGGCTTGCATGCATCGCGCGTAAACCCGAACTTCGCCAACACGTTCAGACAATTCATCTTAAGCGCGGCAACGGCCTGAAGTGCTTTAATGACTACGACGCTTGGCACTCCGCGAATATATACGAATACCGGGCCACTCTAGACGAAAACCCATCATTGCCTTATCCTCAGCATGCCACAACCCTGTCCAAAGTGCAGTGGCGAACGTTCAGCGAGGACCAGCTCCAACAGTTGTATCAGAGGTATAAAAAACGATGAAGAGGCGCGAGATTCGTATGCTGCACGGCTGGCAGCAGCAATATCTTCGACTCTTATGGCGGTCCCGGGAAGGCCCGCTCTCATCACTACACAGGAGAGCCGGCCATCGGATGCTCGACTCGTACTTAGTGTCTTCACAACCAGTATCAACCCACTAAATGCCGTTCGGAACCTTAAATATAATCCCGCATTTGAAGATGAGAAGCACTGGGGTCAGCGCTGGAGAAAAATCGAATTCCATCCTGAAGGACTTGTGAACTGGGGAAGCTTCGGCGTTGACCCTACCATCGACGCCCTCCAGCTTTATATCGTCCTGCGTGCTGTACTGCGAGCACCAAATCGCTTGCAAGCTGTCGAGCTATTCACCCGCGGCCATGCGTTCTGGAGTCCGGCACATCTTCGATCGCTTCTCGACTGGACAACCACACCCTCACCACATTCCTATCCATACAACTCGCACATGAATGAGTGGCTGGAAGGTTGGATAGACGACATTGGTGGACCACTTCGGGTCATACAATACAGCGAGGCACTAACGCGAGATCTTGTCAGGATTGAACGTGGTCTTGCTCGCCTATCTCGCGTGGAGCTTCGGGTGGACACTATCTGGTCCGAGGAACCCGGGGAGATTGAGACGATTGCTCAGGCCATATCGCACATGCTGGGTGAAGCAACCAATCTGCACCATCTGGTGCTCGTCTTCCGAGACCATGCCATTAGTGACGAGTGTGGCGAGTATACATTCTTCGATCATATCCTAGCGCAACGCGCGCCATGCCAAGAAACGGTGCAGCAGAGCATGAGGGTCTCTTCGTCATTACTGTCAAGAGTGTTCCATCTGAAGTCTCTGCGTCATCTCCATCTGTCCTTCGCCGTCGTCGCCGACCACTTACGGGCCTTGATTCGAGATTTGACGCAGCTTCGACACCTTGAACTTCGATACGTCGCTCTGTGGTCGCGCGAAGATTGTTGGGAAGACATCTTGCAGCACATCGCACACAGCTGCAATCTCGAGCATCTCGGCCTGCGGGCGTTGGAAGACATACATGCGGGACAACCGCGACTTATCCTTTGCCCCGAGGCTTCGATATGGCAAACGGACGCCGTCAACGTAGCCACTTATGCGGAGTATGAGGATGCCATTATATGCTTTGCCATGCGGAAGTCAGAGTCACTCCCTGTCCTTCAGCCAGACGAATTCTTGCAGCGCAAGCGCGCTCACTTCCGTTCCTGATTCGGCCTGGGCCACGTCTGTTAGAGACTTGTATCAGACACTGATCGACCGTCATCGATGGACGCGACGCCGTTGGCAAAGACGGTGACTGTGTTTGACTAGCACTAATGCGCAAAGATGCTGGACAGTGCTAACATCATAAGCACTGTGGTATGTCGTCGCTAGACGATTACTTGTCTTGGGTGGAGAGATACCTCTTTTGACACGACTGCCGGTTGCTCATTGCGCTCTTCTCAAATATTAATCGAGCTCCATTGTAAAGGAGGTACGGCCGTGAAGAAAACTTGGGAACGCACTCTTTGGCGAACGCACATCGCCTTGCTTCTGGAAATCTACCACTCGTCATACTAATGCAGGAGCCATGCGACATTGCTGACGTTGTGCCAAGTGAAATGATGCTAGAGACTGCCAGAGGGAAGTGCGAGCAAAATCAACGTAAGGTCGCCATTCCGGCTCTCCAAGAAGTTCAATATATCATCCATGCCGCATAGCATGGGGAAATCGGATTAGAAGATGTTACTTTACTTGACATCAACATGCCTTGTCCTTCCTCGCTTCAAGGAAGAAGTGATTCCACCGATGGTGATCTGACTGAGGCGGAGGGATTGTTTTTACTGATTATCAGACTTAGCAGACCCAAGGTTGTGTCGATCCTGACCTGTGCAGCGCGTTAGTCTGTGGTCAAGGGTATCAGATTGTTCTCAAAGAAGCAGCATCGACGAAGCGTAAATCTCTCGGTACGGGAGTGCCTGTCACACATTTTCGGTCATCAAAGGCTTCTATCCCAGTATTTTCCTGAGACGAAACTCCGTTGATCAAAGACTCTGGGGCGACATTGGAATTTGCTGTGCTAAGCGAATGCTTCACATGTGCTTCCATAATGCCATCCTTGAGTTTAAGAATGAGAGATATTGGGACGGGGTTGAAGACGTCGAGCGGAATAGGACAGGTCTAAGGTCGTCTGCTCCCTCGTCCAGACAGAGTCAGGCTTTATCGGACTGTGGAAGGACTCTCACCGCTGCTGCCTGGCATACAGCCATGATATGATCTATTGGAGCAGCTTGTACTCTCCAAAACATAGAATCAACGGCTTTCACGCTATTCGTCGATTCGCTTCTCATGATGCCTTTGAGGTGCTGACGACAGTGAGCCTGGACGACAATGGACCAGGTCGCTGGTGGCATTATTTCGGAAAGTGGTGACATTCGGTGCTGTGTGATTGTGGAAGTGGATGGAGCACGAGAATATTCAGAGGGAGAGAAAGCTAGGGCTCTTCAGCAGAATTCATACTTCGTGGAGTACCGTCCTGTATTCTATGACAGCGGTCCGACTCATTCGCGAGCACTCCATCACTTATCGCCGTCCAGGACCTCGAAAAATCAAGTCGCCAGCAGCTCGTCCGAGATGGCGGCTGTCCACTGTGCTCGGTTCAAGAGCTCTCTCCTATTCTTGCCGCTCCGACGGCTAGATATCAAGCGATCCGGGCATGGCTCAACGGCGAACCCTGACTCGTCCATATTGTATCGGCGTTCGGGCGGATACTGATGTTGGAGATAGAGCTCAGTCGTTTGCCTCGAAATACTTCTTGATCACCTCGAGATGCGCAATATGATGCCAAGCCCCTTTGATTTGCGCGTCCAACCTTCTTGAATCTCGGGATATCGAGTCCGAAAGCAATCGAGCCACCTCTTACCAATTAGTCGCCGTGGAGATGGAGTAGGCAGGGTCCTCCAGAGGCAGAGCCGGTAGCGCCTGATCTCTTCGGCCATGTCAGTCGCTAATGCCGGGAAAGCTGGAAATCCAGCGCTTGTCAATCGCGAAAGCCATCGCACAAGTGTCCTTTCTTCGGCGCGTGAGAGTACTTGTGTGGATTCGTGAGCGGAAGATCTCGAAGCTCGTCCAGACATGCGGTCTGATAGCGTCGACTTCGGGACACTCCACGCAACCGCACACGCCTGGACCGAGGAGAATCTATTTGTTTTTGAGTTGTGAATGGCTTTCTGCATTCAAGACTGAGTGAGAGGACGCGTTCAAATCGCGTATTGACGCGTCCATTGTCAACAAAACACGGTTTTCAAGGTGAAGCACGGAAATTCGTGTCCGACTTCGCGGGGTGTCCGACTCCCCCATCATCTACGTTAGGCCCCAAGATCGTATGTCTAGATAGAGACGACTCTAAACGAAGATACAGTCGTACCATACTACGTCTTGTATGAAGCTTTAGCATAGGCTTTGGTCTGTTTGGTCGGTTGTAGGAGATAATTTTTGACGTAAAGTGAGAGGCTGTGGTGCAGCCATCATGAGGAATCCCAGTCCCTCCACGTGCGGGGTAGGCTAGCGTGCCAAGACCGCTTCTTTAGTCTTGTTGCTTCTTCAGACTTGGTGCTTCCTCGACCTTCAGCACCTTTTTTCCTGACAGACATGTAACCATCATGGTCACATGTACAAGAGCGCTTTGCTATGGCTCTATCAGTTGCCTTTGTGGAGGCCTCCGATCTCAGAAGCGCAAACGGCAATGTACGGAGGATGATTTGCCGTCCCTCAAAACCATCAAAACTTCGGCCAAACGCGCACGCCATACGGCCGTTCGGTCTGCCGAGAAGAGTCTCCCTACCCCGAGCATGTCTACTACAACGTCGCGGGGCAAATCACCTCCATTACTCTCTCGAGACTACACGTATAGCCAATCCAGCACACGCGCACTCACACATTCGAACCGACTCGACAAAGAATCGCAACTTGGAGTCAACAATGCTCGGGATCAGTGCAGCTTGGGGAATCGGCAGGCAACAGATGAACACTGCATCGTCGAAGTCCCGCCAACACATGGGCATCTTGAGGCTTGCGCATACAAGAGCAAAGGAACTGTCGCGTTGGGCCACTCCATTCCTCCACCTACAGACCCGTGTACTCCGGTGGAATACGTGTTACACTCTTCTTATGATCCCGACTTTTTTGGAAATTTCGAACGGGCCTACAAAGTCTCTCAGTACAGAGATACGCTTCGGGAGCACAAGTATGGAGGTTGTGTTGCCACAGAATTTAAGCGAGGCTTTACGCCCGAGGAGGCTAGGGATAGATGGGAAGCTTTGGCAAGACAGAATAAGGCAGATGCGGATGCATCGAGCGATTCCGAGTAAGAGACTTTGCCCGTGGGGCAGTGGGCATTTCTTTTGGAACGCGTCATATTGCATCCAGGAGTCCTGAGGCTGTACGGGACTTTTTCCGCGCCGCATATGCAGATGCAGATGCAGTAGCTTGTGATGCGACGTGACTCTGCGGCATTCGTTCCTATTGGTGCAAGCTCGCTCCAACAGAAGCTTGCCACATTTAGCTCTTCCGCTATTAGTGCATGTACAAGTTCATGTACAAGATATTGCCGTTCTGCTGTTCATTGTGTACAAGAACCATCATCAAGCCCTGACAACTATGCTGTCCTTGGATAGTTCCTGCGCACGCTTGCCCTTGGATTTCGCCAGCTTGACCCCTGCAGACAGGAGTACTGCTCTAGGCGCCCAAATGATGCTCGACAATGTCCAGGATCAACCATACAATTCGAATCACCACAAAAAGTTCGTGCGGTCACAAATTGGCGGTCTCGCGGCCCCAAAAAGTCCCACCTTTGTAGCAGAGTCTAGTGAGCTAACAGACGGGAACACTACTGAGGCAGACCTATCCGATGACGAAGAGGCCTTTACGGTCACTGCTTGCTACGTGCTTAGTCTTGAGAAGACTAGACTACCTCTCTCCCCGGAAGTTGGCTACTGGTTTGGGTATGGCGACTGTGATCGTTATGGCAGCACCGGCGGAGTCGATATCGCAATTATGCCCGCTAATTTCGAGAATATTGCCACTACAGCTTCAGCACCCGTCTATGCCCGACATGGCTTTTTTGCATTCGATCCTACACACGGTTCATTCTGGCTTCACGCTCGGCACAAAGGCATCCGAGTGGACGATCATCCGATCGCCGCTAAGACGAGAATACTTCTTGGGAGGCGTATGCGCATCTCAATCGGACCTCATCGATTTATCTTCGAATACAAGGTCTCAGACGAGGCAATCTTCCAAGATGCCCTGCGAGCCTTTTTCGCAGAAGATCATAGCCAAGTGCACTTGAATGAAGAAACATCAGCTACACCGTCGACGAGCGATGTTCGTATTGATGATTGGGTCCTCCACGGAGTAGTTGGGTCATCAATGAGATCTGTGATTCATGCCGCTTCTAACGTCAGATCTGGAGAGGTCGTTGCTGTGAAAAGACTCCGCTTCGGCTCATCCCAAGGCATGGCGGAGAGAGAGGTGGAGGTATACAATGATATCCTCGAGAGCGTCCGCGACAATAGATACAACGCATACGTCATGCAGGCACGATCTGTGCTATCCGCTGAGAGGCCATACAATTCGACCAAGGAGGTTTACCTCTTGTGGAAGCCACTTGCGCGCATGGGAGACTTTTCGGCGTTTGGAACGAACGGACGATGGAGGGAATTGTCTCGAGACATCAGAATAGTACTGTTTGTTCAGGTTGCATTGGGACTATCTGCTCTCCATGATGCCGGGTGGATCCACAGAGATCTAAAACCTCCCAATCTTGGAATTGTCGAGCTTGGGGAGAATCCAAGGGCCGTCATTATCGACCAAGGCGGAGCTTGTCGCCAGAAATCCAAGGGTCATGTTCCGAAGATAAAGGTGTGCGGGACAGTCGGCTACCTTGCGCCAGAGCTCGAAAGCGATGCCATTGTACCTTGCTATGGTATGGAGGTTGACATATGGTCCTTGGGTGTAGTAGCTTATTATCTTTTCGTTGAAAGTTGCCTTCCGTGGAGTCTTGACTACAACATGTTCGTGCCATCACGGAACGCCCTGGAACCGTCACTGCATCTCTTTCGACAGGCTCGTTCCGAACTTCTCTCTCAGCCTATGCTCTCCCTCGAAAGGCTTATCGGCGACATGCTGACGGAGGACCCACGTAAACGTCCCGGCATCCAAGATGTCCTGGCACATGCTGCACTACGACATGTGCGCGTGGGCGTGGACGCCAGACTAGAAGCTACTAAGCATACAGGGCAGAAGCGGGGGCAAGGAGCGCTTTACCACGAGATGTCTGATCAGCGACGTGTTGCGCATCATCCACGCCAGATAGGTATGTAATTCAACCTGAGGGACAGAGAGGGGACTTTAGTCCTTAGTTTTGAATAGAAAAGCAGGCTTTGGAGACCGACCAAGTAACCAAGGACGAGAATGACGATACGAAAGGTGGCCTCGATCAGTCTCTGCGGGAAGATACAAAGAGCACGGCAGGGCCGTTCAGTCTTAGTAGACTGTCATTACCATAGCTTGGTCAGCATTTTTTGGTTGTCACTATATGTGCAGCAATAGAACAAGGGCATCCAGTACGCCAACCCTGATCGGTTGAGATGTTTCCTGATATCTCGATTAACTTATAAGCTTCTCCATAAACAATGTTGACTGTTGGGACCTGTGCTTAAGTTGTAGTGTGCGCTCATGTACCGTCCAGCCCTTGAACACTAATGCAGTGAAAGACAACTTGTACTCTCACTTATCCGGCATGCAACACTCGGTACGGTGATTACAGAGAATAGACTCGTCAGAAGTCATCAGTTCCAACCAGTACACCGAACAGTTTAGATCACATCTTGATAGGTCAGATCATGACGTCAGCAGATCAGATCAGATCAATGCTTTGGGCCGTAGATTTAGATCAGATCGAGGACTGTAGATATCTGTGCCATCTGTAGATTGCGGTCAAGCTTAGTCCTGAATTTCAGACGTCATGATTGGTGATTGACCAACCGGCATCGAGACGCGCCTTGTCGTTCCCCATAGTTATTGCTGGACCTGACTGGGAGCACTCACTTATACTATCCATCAATCTAATGTCACAGCTACTCACTCCCAGCTCTCGTGATATTTCGACGCCACCGCCTCATATTGCCTCCCTTCGTTGTCGATCCATCTCCATCGCCGAGCAAGTTGAGGCATTTGACCCTGCTAGACAGAGGCTTGTTGTCGACGACCCTCCTCGTCTTGTAATTAAAGGCAAGAAATATGTGCTCGAGAAGTGGTCGTGCCGACCAGCTGATGCGAAGCGCTATTCTTGGGTGGGCGATGATGGATTGTACCTCGTTGAGATGGATGGGAATTGCTCCAGGTGGGATCGAAAAGGACGCCCGAGCCCAACGACTTCGACGACTCTCTGGCACTGGCATCCTTACGTATTCAGTCGCCCACGGTAGACGAGTATGATCGTTTCAAACCTCTGAAGCCCGTCAGAGATGCTTTCCTGAAGCCTCTGGAGTTGTGGCGTGACCGTCTTGATCAGTATCCAGCGATGTCACAGATGGCTATGGACTTCTTCTCCGTGCCTGCAATGTCTGCCGAATGTGAAAGGGTGTTCAGTCTTGCCATGATGGTCCTCACGACACAGCGACAGAGTATGACAGACTTCACCCTCGAATATCTGGTCTGTCTCAAGTTTTGGTGGAAGACAGAGGCTGTCGACAACTCAGGTGCTGAGATAGTGTGTGGCTGACAAGAATGGTAGTGGCTTCATCACTGACAGGATGGCGGATATGTCTTGGCCGATCTGTAGATATCTATAGATAGGTCAGATCAGATCAGATGATGCTCTGCTGACCCCAGATCACATCAGATTCAAAGAGTGATCTGATATGATCTGGCCTCTTCGGAGCGCTGGTCTAGACTGTTGTCAATGTCCGCAACAGAAGCCTTCATCGTGGTGAACTCTTGGTTCGATAGCTCACTTTTAGCAACATAAATCGACATTTCGGTTGCTCCCACACTGCGATTCGCCATATTACTTCGAAGCTCGATCATCTTCGCAATGTTCCAGTAGATCGTGCTTTTCTCCTCGGCCTCCCACATTTCTGACTGGTCCTTCTTTGCAGAGCAGATGCGAGTGCTTCGACTGCACTTTATGAGTCCGCCTGCCATCAACGGTACGCGTCCTAGCCACTGTCCATGCCATTACAATTGAAATCGTTCTTTGACTCGAGTTGAGGGAACTTTGACGAAGAGACTATCCTTCTAAGCAATAAGCAGGACGCCAGTCTCGTCGCCACGTGACGTTTGCCAAGGTGGCGCCCCCGACTTCGGAGATCTCCACGATTGGCGTGAACTATATTGATAACACAGGTGGGTCATGAAGATGTGGTCGAAGAAGCTACCCCGCATTCGCATCCCCATATGTTCAGCTACACCATCTACGAGATCTTGGGCCACCGAATACTGTGATTCAGAAAATGTTGACCTATCATCCTCACCCCGCTAAGCCCCTGCCATATCCAAAGCTGCTGGCTAATCTGGTGCTCCCGAGCCCTGCCTGTTTGCCAAGTGCGCAGCATGTGACTTGCGTGGCTGATACTCGACGCTTTGGCTGCGAATAAGGCTTTCAGTCCCGGGAAATCGAGTTCCAGTGCGCACTCGCCTCAGGATGCCATGATCTCGTTGTTGTGCTAGAACAGCCATCAAAGTACTTTTGTTGTGCCTCTTCCCAGCCTCGATATCCCTGACGACGTTTCCTTCGCCAATGCCCTAGACGAAGGACGACCTCCTGGCACCGGTCCCAATTAACACAGACGCACAGATGTAGCATTAGAGCACGGCCGCTGTGGGGGGTGAACGAACATGTACAAATCCGGCCAGGCACAAGGTGGAGGCGCAGGTATCCTGGAAAGACTTGTCCCTTGCATCCGAGGTGTTTGCCAAAGCGACCCCACGAACAGACAGCAAAGATGACAGGACCATTCCACTGCTGCAAGACAATTTCGGAGCAATGGAGATCCTGTTGAATATTATCCACGGCCCGAACAAGGAAAGTTCCACGGCACGTGGATGTGCAAATCCTCAAATACGTACGTCGTTGGCCTTGTAGACAAATATGAGTTTCATGAGGCTGCTGAGATGTTCACAGACATATGGTTTGATTCTCTTCGGCCTGCAATACTCAAGGGTCAGCGCCAGGATCTGATAACTGGTATTGTTATCTGCTCAGTGCTCAGAAAGCCTTTGGAGTATGTTAGCTTGACTAGGAGGGCCATCTGGGAGACCGATTGCGAACTCGAAGATGATGATGGGCTCGCTCCCTACTGGACCATTGGTGAGTACCTCCACCGAACAGTAAGATCCTATTTCTGAATCGAGCAGAGGATATGAAGTCACGTCGGCAAGCTATCTTAGGAGAAGTCCCTGACACGCTTTCTGGATTGCTTGGCCGCTAAAACGGTACGCAGCGAGTGTGCCATCAAGATACAAACTGTAACCCGCTTGCGCTTGGAAAACTCATAATGGGTCTGACAAAGATTGGTCTTCATCCGAATCCGGAACCTTCGATCATCAAATTGCCGCTAAAAGCTCTCTTCTCATCACTTAATCTCGTTGAGCTTTCATCGCTGTGTGATAAATATTCTAGCAAGAGCAGACGCAGCCCATACTATTGGGACACGGATGTAAGCAACTCGCATATGGACGAAGAGTTGAAAAGTTCACTTTGCAAAATTGAACAAGACATTCACGGATTAGAACTGGGGCTGGATGCTTAGCTGTGGGGGCGTGAAGGTTCAAGTTGCGTTTCAGGACTCTCCAAATAGGCGCGATGTGGCAAGGTAATTGGTGCATTAGGCGCTATACGTAGACACGCTGAGATGCTGTGAGCGTTACAGCACGGCTGATCATGTCAAAACCAAGTTCGATATATCTGGCGCAGCTCAAGTTGGCGACCTCGTTCAACAGCTGGCCTGGAGCATACCAGGACACAATGTCCAAGCGAGAGTTTCGATCCATGGAGTCTGCAGGCATTATTCTACTCGGTGCATGCACAGAGAGCAACTGGGGGGAGGGAAAAAGATATAGATTGATCCAAGATGCCTCTACGACTCCATAAGCAACGCTACCTGGATGTGACGCTGTTCTCAGAAGAGCTTAGCGCTCAGATTTCAGCTTCAAATCAGATGACTACACCAATTATGGTTAGTTGCAACTTTCCGTTCGCAGTTTGTCGAGCATAGAGCAAGGTGGATAATTTTGGTATAACCCTGACAATATGACACTTTCATGTTGACAAGAATACTTCAGCAGATCTTTGTTCCTCTATAGATAGAAGCAGCTACCTTTTCTGCGACTGTCATCATTCCTGTCCCTTGTAGCGAGAGGCACTGCATGACACAAGATGCTGCTATAAACTTTACTACGGAGCCAGACCCAATGTCTTCAAAGGACTAACAATCCATTGGGAGAAGCGGTCATATGTGCATATAAGACATCAAAACATAAGCCGACAGGATCGCCAGGAACCTGCCGAAGCTACATAATCGTCGAATTGAAGCATATGCACTGTCCAACGCGATCCTTCATGCTTCCATCGCAGACTGCCAAGCCTTGACAGTGACCAGGAGTTCTGGGTAAGCATCCTCACCAAGCGTATTCAATCTCCTTATCATGTTGCGAAATGCCGCCTCGGGACTTGTCCGAACCATTTGGCGACTGAGATCCGGTTCACCGGCGCGGGGATTGATGTGCTTGATCCAGACGCGCTGAACCCTAGACCCGCAATGACTGTTAGGTCGCTGGTTGTCGATTGCTACGAACATGTCTTCGCCTGTCTGACAGTTGGTCAAGTCTGTAAAGCTCCGAAATTCTCCTAGTACTGCCCAGTCGATTTCTAGGTCCGCTCGATTGAGGATGGTGTTCATGTTCGTGTTCGTATCTGGAGGTGCTGTGTCCAGGTGAAGCGACTGTGAAGATGGTACAGCAGTCTCTGCTGTAGAATTGTACACCTGTGGCTGGTCTTGAGTAGATATACCGGAATGTGGTAGAGGTACTCCGGTCTGGGGCTGTATATGGACATTGGTATCAGCCCGAGACGTGATTAGGCTCGGCTCTCCTTGTTTAGACCTATCGGACTGATCTGCAGGGGTCAATTTCTCTGACAGCGCTCGTGCTGTATACTTCCCAACAGTGATATTGTCATTCAGGACAATGTCTTGCTCAGAAGCTTCTTGTCGAGAGCCTGGATATCCGAGCGGCTGACTGTCATGAGATGGAGTGGACGGAGCGGGAGCACGCGAGCTACTGGCAGGAGCGAAAGCACCTGTTGTATTCTCAGCTCCATTGTGGTCACCAAGCTTGCGTAACTCTTTGGATTGACTCAGGGAGGGAATCTTTGAGAACTTGCTGAGCTGCGCCGGCGTCAGCTTTAGCCTTATCATCCAACGCGGTTCGTAGGCCCCGCTTACGTCCACCTTCGTCTTCTGCTTCTTTGTCGAGCCAGACAGGTTTTGAGACTGCGCCCTTTTGGCATGCAACGCGTCCTTCACGGCTGCTCTGGTAGAGCTGCCGTGGTCACTGAGATCCGTAGGATCGACAGTCTCATAAGGAGCACCATAATCGCGCATAGTCTCATCGTTCCATTGGGAAGCCACCGAAGATCTTGCACCCGACCTGGACATTGATGAGGCAGGGTCCTTGAAGCATGGTGCCCTTCTTGGACAAAATGTTTGGTGATTTCTGGGCCGGTAATCATACTCAGCGGCATGATTATCGTTGCCCGCTTCTCCGTCCAGATCGTTGTGGCAGTGGTCGAAGAACGGCTTTTCGTC